AGACGGGTTTCCGCAATCCACTTTTCGCTCCTCCGGGAGACAGAACGTGACGGGTGGCGAACCTCGTCGCCGATCTATTGGTATATGTGTGTAAATATGCCTACTCTGTTATAGGTGACTATAAATAAAGGTTAGTCTGTTGCAAACCACCAAGCGAGTTTATTATTTCATTACCATAGCGGTAATGCCGACACAGACCGACTCATCGACCACGTCCAAATGTCTACAGATTCCGCGCTACAACAGATCCCATATAAGCAGGAGTGCTACCGGGCCTAGGCTGACGCATTAACGTCTCGAGATGTAAACATCAGCGCTCTTAAAAAGAAGTATAATTCCGCCTCCAGGTCCTTCAAAAGGGTCATTGCCAAGGCAAGGTCTGCGCACATCGGCAGAATTGGCGAGAAGCTAGTTCGACTTCCTTAGGGAACCCGTGCATACTGGTCTCTCGCCAAGGCTGTCCAAGGGAATTTCTGTCACTCATCTTTTCCATCTCTGCACAGAAAGGACTACTCACTGGCCTACGCCGCAAAGGAGAAAGCCGATCTGTTAGGCTCTCTCTTTGTGTCCAACTCGACTATCGATAACGGGGGGAACACACCGCCGACCTTCCTGCGGTGTGAGTGCCCCATGCCGGCTGTGCGGTTTAAACAGCACTCGCTTCGCAAAGCACTCCTTTCCCTGGAAGTCAGGAAGCCGAGTGGGCCTGATGGGAGCTTTTTTTAATAGAATAAGTGTGACAAACTAACACAATCCACCTAATAGTAAGTTGATGCTGTGGCCCATAGACATTCTACATTTAACCTCAATTAAGAATCAAAATGCAGATGCGTTTCCAGTAAAACGGGTCTTCGGTTCTCTACACTCACCATACGAAACGCAGCGGCATTAAATTGCTATTTTAAACTGGTGTTCTGTGTGAGAGAGAGAGTGGTCCTTCCCCGATCGAGCCGACCATTCGTGCTACAACCATAATATAGCTGCAGCGTGGCCCTACCACGTATAAAATCCCCTGTCCCTCCCATTGTGCTGAAGACGTGTGCTCCGGAGTTGGCATAGGTATTGACGCGTCTTTTTCGGTACTCTTACTCCCAAGGCGTAGTCCCGGATTCTTATAAGATAGCTTTGGTCCGCCCGATCCCTAAAAAAGGCGTCCGCTCAGACCGCCATCATTTCCTTGTTCTCCAAATAATGGAGTCCATTGTAAACTGCCAGCTCATGAGGTACCTTGAGGATCACCAGCTGATTAGTGACCGCAAATATGGTTTCTGTCGTGGTCGATCAGCTGGTGATCTGCTGGCTGGCTGGCATACGTGGGCGGAAGCACTAGAGTCCAAAGGTCCAAAGGGAGGCATTGGCCGTTAGTTTGGATATAGCGAAGGCCTTCGATCGGGTTTGGCACAAAGCGCTTCTTTCGAAGCTCCCTTCCTATGGGCTGCCCGAGAAATTGTGCGATTGTATCACTAGTTTTCTTGCTAATCGGAGCATCAAGGTCGTAGTAGACGGTGCATGCTTTGATTACAAGCCTATTAACGCTGGTGTTCCACAAGGCTGCGTGCTATCAGCAACTCGGCATATCAATGATATGTTGCAAACTGGTAACATTCATTGCTATGCAGACGATAGCATTGGTGATGCCTTATACACTGGCCGTGCCAATTTTTCTCGGGAAAACGTCGCCGAGTACCGGGACAAACTTGTGTCTGAAGTCGAGTCTTGGCTTAACAAAGTCTTGGATTGGGGGCGCCTAAATCTAGTCCAATTCAATCCCCAGAAGACACAAGTTAACCGCGCGTTAACCGCTAAAAAGAACCCCTTTGTCGTATCTCCTCAGTTTTAAGGTACTCACTCCCCTTGCTGCCTCAGCTAGCATCAGAATCCTCGGCGTCGACATATCGAATAGTGTGCAGTTTCGTGGTCTCTTGGAGGGGAAGGCTAAATTGGCCTCCAGAAAGCTTGGCGTGCTTAGCAGAGCGAGACAGTATTATATACCGGCACATCGCATGCAACTTTACAAAGTGCAAGTTCGGCATCAAATGGAATACTGTTCTCATCTCTGTGCCGGGGCACCCCCCTGCCAGCTCCTTCCACTTGATCGATTCGAATCGTCGATGACCGAGTTCTTTGCGATCGGCTCAATTTACTGGCGCTGCGCAGGGATGTTGCATCCCTTTGCGTTTTTTACCGTATCTGCTACGGGGAGTTTTTGATGAATTGTTTGGATTAGTTCTAGCCGCCAAATTTCACGAACGTACATCGTGTCTAAATTCACGATACCCGCACCATCTGAATACTTGGCGGTCCACAAATATGCGTTTTAATAGGAGTTTTCTTTCTCGTACAACTTCTTTGTGAAATTGTTTATCACCGGCGCTTACTCCTTTCTAAAATGCCGGCAACGCATCTGCAATTCCCTTGGTGTTGGCGGTTGCTCGTGGGCGGCGGTAGTCATTTACCAACAGGTGAGCCGCATTCTCGTTTGTTTCTTGCTGCGTCTTCTATAAATAAAATAAAATAAATGAAGACAAAGACTTCTATGTACACTAATGGAATAGAATAATAGAATTATATGAAGGTGCGTTGTCTTTCAGGCCTAAGATTAAATTAGTGTCCAGTTACAAAGGTGACGTCGAAAAGTTTTCAGTTTTCGTCACTCATCATTCAAAACAGCAAATCAATAACAGTAGTTAGTAATGTTATGTACATACTTATAAGTAAAAAAAAAACCGTTTGTTAAACAAGATCATTTACCGACTTCAAAATGGAGAAGGTAGTTAATTCGACTGCATGTTTTTATGCGTGTTACCTCAAAACTGGATGAACCGATTTTGATTCTTTTTAACTTTCCCTAAGAAAATTCAAAACTTTCAAAAATAGATAACTTATTGGTATATATGTGTGTGTGCGTGTGTGTGCGTGCGTGTGCGTGCGTTGTGTGTGCGTGTGTGTGTGCGTGTGTGCGTGGGTGCGTGCGCGCTTGGGTGCGTGGGCGCGTGCGCCCGTGGGGAGACAGTAATTTTAACAAAGAAGTACCTTTCAATCTATGTCTGTGTCGATAAAGAGTTGAGCCAGCGTTTGAAAATAACTTTCCAATCCTATACCTTTAAACAAGCAATTCTTGTATATATATATATATATATATATATATATATATATATATATATATATATATATATAATCGGAATCTCGGAAACGGCTCCAACGATTTTCATAAAATTTAGTGTCCAGGGAGTTTCGGGGGCAATAAATCGATCTAGCTAGGATTTATTTTTAGAAAATGTCCTTTTGTCCGTGTTTTTAGGCAATAAAAAAACTGCTACAATATAAGAAGGTAAATTTTGACAGACGACTAACGATCGTAATAGCTCAGGTGGGATGTCGGTCGGGCGTGATATCGGAGTTCCGTGGTTCGCGTCCCGTCTCGGGTCCGACTTTTTTTCCCTTTTTTTTTCAAATTCCCTTCTTTTGTGAGAAAATCTATTATTTCGAGCCCTTTTTTTTAGTAATTTTTAAAAATAAAAGAAGTTTTAATTAAACTAATTGCACTCATGATTTTATTAAAATAACCAGTTCAGTTTTTCTATTATGTCAATAAGATCAAAAAATATTATTCATGTAATTTGTATCTAAATGTAAATTTAAAAAAAACCGAGCAAAGCTCGGTCATCCTGGTACTAATCGATTATAGGTTCATTGACATCTCTGTTTGATACGTGGAAACGTCGATGTTAAAATATCGATGTTTTAATTTTTAACATCGATGATCATCGAACATCCATAATTCATTTCTCAACTGAAAGTCTATAAACTGTGCTGGCTGCTGGTATTCTGCGAGGACGTGATAGCTCGTGTTCGTGGCGTTATATTCATTGTCAGTTTTTGGAGATAAATTAATAAAATAAAGAGTCAAGACAACAATTATTTATTGATTAATATAACATTTTTACAATAAAAATAATGTTCCATTTATATAACTTCAACGAATACAATGTACTGTTTTTTAATTTATAATTTTAAATACAACAACAGTTAGTTATAAGTTAATTTATTTTGTATCAGATAATTAGAATAAATAGGTATAATATAGTTACTATGATTTTAAAGGTATATTGGTCAAAGAAATAATGCCTACATATCTAAAGTTCAAACATAAGCAAATGCAGATATGGTAACTGTATCATATTTTAATTATAAAGTATACAAGCCTTTAACAAAATCAGGCCTTACTTCTAAAGAAAAGAAAAATCATTTTTAATCTACGAGAATAAAACGATAACTTCGATAACATTCAACTAAACATCTAATAATAATACTGCAACATAACAGTTTAAATGATAATTTAAAGGAATTTAGTGTGCAAGCGAACATATTTAACTAACGCATTAAAAATGTTAATTTAGATAAAATAATGACTAAATTGTCTATTACATTAACATATGTAAACAAAATTAGCGATGTTCCTCTTTCTCCTTACGTAACAAGATGCAAGTTTTGTTAAAAGAACAAAGATTCATGATAACATTTATGCAGTTCAAAATTGTTGTAGGTATGTGACTGAAGATATACATATGTCTAACGTTTATAGTTCACTTATTGTTTGTATAAAGTTTGCATAAATATCCATCTTGTTAATTTTGAAATCTGTCGAATAAGCTTTCTATTAACACATTTCAGTTTTTAGGCCATTAATTTATTACTTTACACGATTAAAAAATATTGTGCACACATAATTATGTACTGGTCAATTTTTTAACTTCTGCTTTTAAATAAAATATATTCTAAAAGCTTACCCTTAACTTTCAAGTACAATTTAATAGTAATTAAATTTTATGTAGAGTAAAAAGTTAACAATAAGTGGCATTAATTTAGTTTCGTGTATTATGTAAAGTAACCGCTTTTCACATGAGCAGTTTCCATGCCGAAGGAACATGTATAACGGATGGGGGGAATGAGGTGGGGTTCTATATAGTTGTAATGAGGGTGGGTGTGGGGCCCGGGGTCTAGACGTTGAAGCGGGTCTCGGAGCCGTCGGCCAGCATGAGCGTGACGGTGCGAGAGTTGGTCCAGACGAGGCGCGCAAGACGCGCAGGGTTGAGGCGCGCCACGTCGGCCATGGGCGCCGTGCTGTAGCACTTCACGCAGCGGGTCTGCGCCGCGCCCAGCCCGAACATGCCTGCACCCCACCACCCACAGTTCATTGGGGGATTCATCATTTATAATTACAACCTATCAAAACTCCACAGCTGAACTTTTTTGTTCGCTTCGTCTTGTAAAGCGTAAAGCAAGAGAGTGTAATTTGCCGGCTTCTATCTTTACGTGCGACTGCAATCTGGGCGTCTTCAAAGCAAGAAAGAATAAGTTTTTGTAACGCTAAGACATTGCGATTTACCATCTGGGACTTCATCACCACTTACCATCAGGTGGAATTGTGGTAAAGCACTGGCTTATAATAAGTTAAAAAAATCATAGAGCTTCCCCAAGACGACCTCATACAGAGTTTATTTACCGTAGTTGCCACGCTTAGCAAAGGCGTTTACATCTGCAGGTTTTTCCCTTTCCACTCCCCTCTGTCGCCTCTAACGACACATACGGGATCATGTAGGGTAGTGGATTCTCTTACGCCGCCAACACAAGGCAAATAATTATCGAATTATTAATAATTTTATGTTACGACCGTATTTTTTGTACTTTCCTTGAAATAAATAAAATAATAACCTCAAAATGACAGTGTGTCATGAGAGACCATTTTTGAGAATAAAGTTGTCGTTAAACTATATAAATACTGATGATTTCTTAAATTTACGCGAACACTACACATTGAATAAAACTATTATTTACGGATTTTATCGCGTTTAATTACTTTAATTTATTTTTATTATTATCCCGACGTTTCGGGTGCTTTACAGCGCCCATGGTCACGGGGGGACTGAGATGTTTGACGTCCCAATGTCATAGTTAGTCCGGCTACCTTCAGTTTTTTTAATATTAATTTTTGGTCCGATTTACGCAAAACGAGCTTATAGTATCATGAAGTCTTGCAGTGGTATGCTTGGGTTTGGGTTTAATTTTGTTGATTATAGGATCCCAAGCAGATGGTAGCACCCAACCATCTTCTCTATTGAAATTTGGATGTTTTTTTAATTTCAATAGCCTCGCGTATCATCCTTGGTAGGAATCGGTGTTCTTTTGCGAGAATTTGTGGTTTGTCAAATCTAATGTAATGGTGGGGACGATCTTGAACATGTTCGCAGACTGCAGACTTCCCGGAGCGTCGGTGCTTCACATCAGCTATATGTTCCTTCACGCGGGTTTTTATAGATCTCTTTGTTTGACCTATGTAAGAGAGACCACATTCACAATCTAGCTTGTACACACCTGCATCTTGTAGAGGAATATTACATTTGATGGATGGTAAAAATTGACTAATCTTCTTCAGCGGCTTGTAGTATGTCTTAATGGACGCTCGCTTCAAGATGTAGCCAATCTTGTCCGTGACTCCTCCAACATATGGTAGTAGAGCAGGTGCGCGCTCGACTGTTGCCGGCTTCACTCGTTCACTGTGACGTAGGCGCGGGACCCGAAGCTTGTTGTCTTGCAATACTTGCTTGACGTGCTGAAGCTCCGCGGCCAGATGTTTTCTGTCACAGATCCTTCGTGCTCTCTGAAACAAAGATTTACCCACGGTAGCTAACTGTGAAGGATGATGTTAGCTACCGTGGGTAAATCTTTGTTTCAGAGAGCACGAAGGATCTGTGACAGAAAACATCTGGCCGCGGAGCTTCAGCACGTCAAGCAAGTATTGCAAGACAACAAGCTTCGGGTCCCGCGCCTACGTCACAGTGAACGAGTGAAGCCGGCAACAGTCGAGCGCGCACCTGCTCTACTACCATATGTTGGAGGAGTCACGGACAAGATTGGCTACATCTTGAAGCGAGCGTCCATTAAGACATACTACAAGCCGCTGAAGAAGATTAGTCAATTTTTACCATCCATCAAATGTAATATTCCTCTACAAGATGCAGGTGTGTACAAGCTAGATTGTGAATGTGGTCTCTCTTACATAGGTCAAACAAAGAGATCTATAAAAAACCCGCGTGAAGGAACATATAGCTGATGTGAAGCACCGACGCTCCGGGAAGTCTGCAGTCTGCGAACATGTTCAAGATCGTCCCCACCATTACATTAGATTTGACAAACCACAAATTCTCGCAAAAGAACACCGATTCCTACCAAGGATGATACGCGAGGCTATTGAAATTAAAAAACATCCAAATTTCAATAGAGAAGATGGTTGGGTGCTACCATCTGCTTGGGATCCTATAATCAACAAAATTAAACCCAAACCCAAGCATACCACTGCAAGACTTCATGATACTATAAGCTCGTTTTGCGTAAATCGGACCAAAAATTAATATTAAAAAAACTGAAGGTAGCCGGACTAACTATGACATTGGGACGTCAAACATCTCAGTCCCCCCCCGTGACCATGGGCGCTGTAAAGCACCCGAAACGTCGGGATAATAATAAAAATAAATTAAAGTAATTAAACGCGATAAAATCCGTAAATAATAGTTTTATTCAATATATAAACACTGTTTAATGGGCATAGTCCATGGCCTGCAGTTCAGTTCTTACCATCAAATATCAAATGGATACTGACCACTGATACTGATGGTACTTACCATCAGATATCAAATGGACTGCTGATTCATAGGTCGTGAAATTTTATAAATAAACCCATCAGATCATATTCACGGTATTGTATTACTGAATTATCATAGAAGTTTAACTGTTGCAAAACATATAAGAAAAAACTACAGCTGCCAATCCAAAGCCAAGCGTGGCAAATATAACAAATATCCCCCATATGAGGCAGTTAATGAAGGATACCCTCTGTTCAGCAATATACTCCTCGAAAGGCTCTAATTAAAATTGAAATAAATGTATATTAAATGTGTTTTTAATTTGATCTTTTGAACTTGATTGAGCAAGTATTATGAAGCGATAATCCTATTGATATCCTACGCACATACTATTCTTCATCATCTGCAATCAACTTTAAATAAAGAAGACTGCAGAGCTATGAGGGAAAGCCTCATAATCAGTTATTTTACTAACTTATTTACTTTTAAAATCAGAAAGCAATAGTGGGTGCCTAGTCAACCTCTTTATTATATTGCAAACCAACTTACTATGCAATTATCACACAACATATATTATGTACATTTTACAATTCACTCTTTTTTTCACATCTAATGGTACGTGTTAATATTTTTTGTGTTTATTTACAAAAACGGTTTTGTAGTATTGATTAGCAAAAGGTACAGACGCAAGCGACGTGTAGTGAATAGTGTGTGGAGTGTTGAGCGTGGCGTGTAGTATGTAGTAGTGTAATTAGTAGTAGACAGTATGTAGTGTGGCGCTTGGTGTTTAGTATATATGCTGTGTCAAATTTAGGTTGATAATTTTGACAGCTCAATGTAGGGATGGAGCGGCATATAATCGTTAATGAATCTATTCGATTATTATTCTCATAGAACTTGCAATCGATAGTTGCATGTTTATGCTATATGAATTTGAAATTTTGAACAATTTCTTATCTATTGAATTAATAATAAATTATTAATACGATAATAAAATCCCTCCTACAGCTCGTGTATATTTTTATTCAGTCAGTCAGATTATTTAGAAGAATACGTGCGAGTCGAAATAATATTTGTGAAAGGGCTTAGTTTGAAATTAAACAAGGAATTGTAGCTCAAAGTTATTTATTATTAAAATAATAGTGCACAACCTTAACAAGTTCGATATGGTCATCATCATCATCATCATCATCACTAGGCTCCCCACTGGAATAGTCCCTTACGTTTCTTATTAGTTATTGTTCACAAAATCTGTCAAAGTGGACATCTTGCTCTCAATCTTCTAGTATATATGTTTTTGTGTATTCCACGACTTTTCTCCAGCCACCCGCAGTAACGTTATCACAGGCGTTTTGTGTTGTTTTGTTTTCTTAGCGTATATTCAGTACGTCTATAATACGCGTATAAATGGTTGCGTAATGAATCGCAGTGATCCTTTAAACTCTCCTTCTTTTCTTATTAGGCGTCGATATATTTTTCCATGTTTCCTCTGTGGCTTGAGTTGATTATGGCTTGCCATAATCTTCTTGCGTTATACGAGACAACGTCGTACGACCGATGCCAAGAGCATCCGCAACTCTTTCCAGCATTGTGTAACCAAAAATAACACAAACTTAACGAAAAACTCAACAAAATAGTAGATAGCAGAAAATAACAAAACCTGAATGAAAGCGTACACAAGGCACTAACGGCGACGCGTCGGAGATCTTACCGATTACAAAATGGCCGACTGACAGAAGGATGCCACAATCTTGGAGTCAATAGATACTATTTTTGATTTCCATTTTTTTTTTCAGAATAACAGTTGATAAAATAGGGCTGACACGCAATCAGTGCCGTTAATAGAACATAGTTTGCCAATAAAGAGCCTATTCCAATACATATTTACGTGATTTTTATATATTCGATTTATTTCAAAACCGATTTGTGATAGTCTGTGGTTGTTCGTTATGGCATGGCATAGTTTAGCGTGGCACATCACTATCGTAAGTGGGCGATATCCATCCATGAAGGACAACAATATTTATTTTGTATTAAAAAAATACAAAACTGCATAGGCGTGAGCTGTAAAAATTATAAAGCTAAATTTGACTGAGTTTAGTTGTGTAATATGTAGCAGGCGGTTTGTATTGAATAGGTGTAGTGTATAATAATATGTAGTAGTAGTAGTAGTGTAATGTGTAATAGGCGGTGTGTAGTATTTAGGGTCATATGTATTGGGCTGTGTGTAGTTTATGGAGTGAAGAGGTGATGTGGAATAGTTATGATGTATATTATGTAATGTTTGGGCATCGTGACGTGGTGCAGCGCGGATGTACTCACCGGCGGTGCTCTGCCAGAACGAAAGGCGGTTGTCGGACGTGGCATAGGAGACTAAGTAGCGGCCGTCGGGGCTGAAGGCGCAAGCGGTGACGGGCCCCCCGTGCGCTGCTAAAGACTGGCAGCGCCCAGCGCGGAGCTCGTACAGCGCTAGTTGTCCCGTGTGGCTGCCCACTGTAACCGCGCAAACATTATCGACTTATGTCACAGATTACTAAATAGTTTATTACGTAGCTACGACAGAATATCAGCGCTGCGGTAACTCTGTTACTGTAGCATTATGCTTAGTCGGCGGCCTTTTTGTTCCTGCAATCCATTTTATTTAAATTATTCATTTTTTTAATTATTACTTAGTATTTTTTGTTCGTAAATTAATATCTAGTGTCAAGTTGCAGTACTAAATAAAATTGTTATTTTTTCCTTTCATTAGTTTTTCTCTCTATCATATTTAGCTCCAGCAACTGCTATTAAATAGTTTTCTGTTCCAGTATCCAACATATTTTATTTAATCCTAAAGAATTCGGAGAAAATACTAAAATTTCTAAGTGTATAACTAGAGTTGCCTGTAATACCAGTATAAGAGAATCCGTTAACACTCCTAATTCAGTGTGCTTTTGGGAAAACTATTGGAAGACCTTGACTGTAGATAGCGGTATAACTATAGTGTATTATACAATAGAAATAAAATAAGTACACAGAAAGAAGACTGCATGCAGATTCAGAGGAGCGAGTCATCTACTACTGAACGCCAATCCGACTGTCAAGCGTGCCCTTTACTGTAAATGTTTCCTTTGGGTGAGGCCCATTTCTATAATAATAATAATAAATGTACCCTCATTAGATATTCACGCAAGCGAAACTTAATTCATTGCGGCTATCACCTTAAAGGTCAGAAGCTGCAAAAACAACCAGTTGTACGTGATCTAGGGATTTTCTACGACTCTAAGTTATTATTCAACAACCATGTTGACAATATCATAGCTAGGGCATCTAAGGCGTTAGGTTTTGTCATGCGTACTGCTAAGGAGTTTAATAACATTAAAACAATTAAATATTGTACTGCACTTACGTCCGCAGTACGCTTGAATACGCTTTGCAAGTCTGGAATCCAATGTATGATACATACATTTCACGGATTGAAAGTATTCAACGTAAATTCATACGATATCTTTGCTATCGTACCCATAGAAAATACCGTTCAGAAGACTATATATCCTTATGCAAACAGCATCATCTGTTACCTTTGATAAAGCGTCTGGAGATTGCTGACATTGTATTTTTATTGAAAATTTGTTCTGGCAATGTTGACTGGTTAGATTTGCTATCACAAATATCACTGAGAACACCTACGGTTAACCTTAGAACGAATGCATTACTCTACTTACCAGCTTCATCAACTAATTACGGAAGAAATACTTTCTTATATCGGTCTAGTAATATTTTTAATAATCTATGCAAAAAGCATGATTTTGATTTGTTTAATACTAGCTATGTATCGGCAAGGCGGGCATTAAGTCGAGAGGTTTTTGTGTCGTAATTTAATTTACTTTAAGAACAATTATGTTGTGCGTTTAGCCCTGCTTTTATTTTCCTTTGTGGCTATTATTGTTAGTTTCACTTATTAAATTTATGATGTTGTACATTTAAATTAGACTCCATTTTTTGTTGCTCATAATTGTACTATGTCCTTTAAACGACGAAAGATTATGTTAGTGTATGTCTATTAGTGAGAACCTGTTACTGGTATCTTGTAAATTTAACATGTTATTTATTTAAGGTTTGTAAGCTGTTGGTTTTCCATTACATAAAAATAAAATTAAATAAAAAATAAAATTAATTTCAGCAAATAGAATCGGTTTACAGACATTAGTGGCCGGATTCTCCTTTTAAGCAAAATCATATCAGTAAGCTTCTTCTACGAATTTTATCGCGTTTAATTTATTTAGTTTTTAATTTCCGACGTTTCGGGTGGATTCCAGCCCCATTGTCACGGTGGACTGAGGTGACTGACGTGACTTCCCGATGTCACTGTTAACCCGGAGTACCTTCAGCTTTTTAATTACTCTGCTTCAACTTCAGCTTTTTAAGGTCCCCCGTGACCATGGGTGTTGTAAAGCACCCGAAACAGAAACATTGGTAATTAAAATCAAATAAACGAACGCGATAAAATCCGTAAAAATTATTTTAATCAATGTGTAGTGTCTGCGTAAATATAAGAAATCATTATACCAGTAAACTACTTACGAGATAATGACAAGAAGAAGAATCAGGAAATTATACATGATGTATGTTACCCAAACAAATATGCAAACATTGCAAGTTAACTTGCAATGTTTGCATATTTGTTTGCGTCAAATTTTGCAATTGATTTTTAAAGCAGTTTATTTTTAACCGATTAAGCTGAAATTTTGCATAAACGTTTAGTTTGGTTGACATAACATAGTCAGCTAAGTAACGTCATTTTAAATCTAACATGGCGGACCGCTCAAGATGGCGCATTTTTATACTGAGTAAAATACGAAAAATAAAATGATGTCATGCTAAATCTAATATGGCGGGCTAGTTATTTTTATACACTATATGGGTATCAAATGAAAGGGTTTGCTGATAAGAAAATGAAAATAAATTGACGTCACTCTGAATCCAATATAGTGGACTCCCAAAGAAAGCGGACTATGTTTTTTTTATGTACCCCCATAATATAGATATGAAAATAACACGAATAAAATGATGTCCACTTTCTCTTCGAGGAGATGATGTACTACTGCCCGGCTAAACAGTAAGACTTAGCGGGTTCGCGTCTTAGCTAATATCGACTTACGTCCTAGGCAAATTCTAGCGATGGTGAAAAATATTTTTATACGTGGTAGAGCCACGCTGCAGCTATTATGGTTGTAGCATGAATGGGTCGGCTCGACTGAGGAAGGACCACGCTCTCACAGAATACCAGTGTAAAATAGCAGCTTAATGCTGCTGTGTTTCGTATGGTGAGTGTAGAGAACGGGAGACCCTTTTTACTGGAAACGAGGCATTCCATCTTAGTCCACACGGATGACAACGCATCTGCATTTTGATTCGTAATTGGGGATAGATCTAGATGTCTATGGGCCACAGCAACCACTTACCATCAGGTGAACTGTGTGCTCGTTTGTCACCGTAAACTATATAAAAAAATATATATTTAAAATGGCAAAAAACAAGATAGCCGCCATACGAATTTTAAAGAGTTATAACTCGGTAAAAGTTAGGGATAATTCGGTGGTGTTAACTACAGGAGAATTAAAAAATTCAAGATCTGTCAGAACATTTTGCTATTATAACGAACAGAATAATCAAAGAACCAACCGGTGAGTTTGCTATTGAAAAGTCCAGCGAATTTATCGCACTAACCAACAAGTATATAATCACAATAAAATTGTCCCCGAACATTTCCGAGCACGTCGTGTTGTGTGTAACTTTTAACAAAATAATAGCACAAGTCTAATAAATTGTACTCCTATCTCGTAACACAAGCTTTTATATTATATAAATTGTAAAATGTACGTGGTAGAGCCACGCTGCAGTAAAATTACGGTTGTAGCATGAATAGGAATTTGATTCTTAATTCAGGTAAAATGTATATGTCTATGGGCGACAGCATCCACTTACCATCAGGTGGACTGTGTGCTCGTATGTCATCCTATTCTATAAAAAAATGTAATAAAGTGATGTTTTGATTTAATTTAAAGTTTATTTTCTTCTTTTTAGAGTATTTCATTAAGGCGACACCGTGAAAAAATGCACCTCCTTTCATCGAATTATAGTTATAGGACTATGACACCACTAACGAAAGTGGGATTTTGATATAGGTAAATTCATGTCTTTATGTTGAATTTGATTGCTCAAAATCACGATTATATAATTTTGACTCGATCATAATTATTTGCGAACACACCTCTAAAAATCACTATAGTTGAAATTACAACGAAATCATTTGATCTGTATGCTTGGGAATCACTCGAATATATTCATAACATCAATATTCATAATTTACTTGCTCATTATTTTGATAACTTAAATCAATAATTTTTTAAAAAATATTTTAAGATTCTGACAATTTCTAAGCGGTTTTAATCGTCGCGGGTGCTACGAAATTTTAGACCTTATGACGGCGTTTCTTCAAGTTTTTATAGAAATTATGTATTCACTCGGATCAGTAGGGCGATAGCGTCTCGATGTGTCGTCTTAAAAGCTTGTTTTTATATATATTTTTTAACTATTAAATTATTAATATCAATTATTTTTATTCAACACTTTCTTTTTTTTAATCAGGTGAAATCGGCGTATGCTTCTTTAACGGTGTTTTTAAATAGGTATTTTATTTTACTAAGCCGCCGCGAGGTCCGATAAGACTTTGATGCTGCAAAAACGTAACTGAAAATTTTAATCATTAATTTCATGTATCTTAGGTTTACACTGCCTTGTAATACCTTGAAAATTCGACATTTACGTTTAAATAAAGAGAAGCATTGCAAATGTTCGACAAGGCAATAACGAAAAACCTACTCAGCATGTACTTGAAATAGAATATCATATGAAACAATAATGAAGTCTGATTATTTATCAATTATATAAATTGATGCATAATTATATTACACGGAATGTGCACAACATGGAATGTCTTGCTTTAGATTCACCTGATGGCAAGTGCCTTCTGCAGCTCTTCAACCCAGATACCGACAGCTGTCTGCTTACGCGTAAATAGCTACAGACGCGTTGTTACTTGTACCTCTGACGACTACTAACACTTACTACGAGGTGTTTTTATTGACTTTTCACCGTGTGAAAGCGCAAGACAATCCTTTAAAATCCGTCTCATCGCGCATACGTCCTTAAATTTACCATTGTACATGCTAAGATACCAGGAATTTCGTACGTGGTAGAGCCACGCTGTAGCTATATTATGATTTTAGCACGAATGGGTCGGCTCGACCGGGGAAGGACCACGCTCTCACAGAATATCAGCGTAAAATAGCTGATTAATGCTGTTGTATTTCATTTGAACAGTATAGAGAAACGGAGACCTTTTTTACTGATAAAGAGGCATTCTGTCTTAGTCCTCAAGGGTGACAATGCATCTGCATTTTGATTATTAATCGGGGGATAAATGTAGATGTCTATAGATCACAGCATCCACTTAACATCAGGTGGACTGTATGCTCGTTTTAAGGGCGTCGCCAAGGGGGGGGGCAGGGAGGGGCAGCTGCCCCCCCTAGCGATGCTAAAAAAATTGCCAAATATATTGCACCCAAAGGCGTAAGTATTTGGGTTGATTTGCTTAAAGTTCAAGCCTTGAACAATCATTCCCGTGCGTCGAAACTCCAATGAATTCACCAATTCCACTCTTAATATTCCGTACTACGCTGCGCTCTGCTCTACTCTATCATTGAAGCGGGAGAGAGGGAGTGGGGAAGCAAAGCAACATGTAACCGCGTGGCGCCCGCGCCCCCCACACAGCCGCCTTTGTTTTATCGTCTGTCTGTCATTTATTCGTGCGTTAGCGTTGCCACTGCCCGCTTTTACTTTGTTTTGTGCGCTATTATCACATCTAAATAGTTGCTGTGACCACATAATCAATATGGACATCAGAAATTTTTTTGGTGAGTATCACTTGCGTTTAGCTTTCGTATTTTCCGTCCGTAAAATAACGTCAATTGATTTGATTATAAATGCTGATTTTGCATCGGTTTTTAAAATCGCAAAGATCCGTTTCTAGGCACGATATCCGATTCTTAAGGGTCGTCAGTTTAAACCAAAAGGAAAATTGCTCAATTTAATGGTTCAATCGAAAATAGGACCGTATTAACATAGCTCAAAGTAGAAAATTGTATGAATGAATATCGGCAGTGCCGATTCGGCACAGTCGGCTCGCGTATGCTTGAGACTCCGGTGCGTGCGTGTCGTTGCGCCCGCTCTAGAGTGCTCGAGCGAGGATGCCCGAGACCGCGCGAGCATAGCCGCGGCGGTTAAGCCGCTCGAAATAGCTAGGACTGTTGATATAAAAAATATCGTTGACGCTAGTCCTTGCGCGGGCTCGAGCCTGCCGCCGTCTTGAAGGGCATTTATGCTTTCAATGTGAATTGCGGACCAGAAGAAGTTGTTGCTATTTCAAATATTTTATTTTGCAGTTTTAAAAAGAAAGAAACCTGAAGGAGCAATCAGTGACAGCGATGATTCCGTGGGTGACCTGGCGAGACCTAGCACATCCAAAGAACCGAACTTAGTTCCCGACTCTTCGATAAATGACTGCAACGAAAATTACATCGGTAAATTTATTGGACAAGCATCAATGTTATCGACTGAAATGAAGAAAGAATTGCTTGAAAACACTTGGTCTCCGTCTGCGACGTATGACTTTGCGGAAGACGCTAAACATTTGAAGAGGAAATTTTATTATTCATGGTTGGAAACGTACTCTCCATGGTTGGCCTATTCCAGGCACCAAAAAGGAGCCTTTTGTAAATATTGTACATTGTTCCCGCCAAATCCAAATTCTTTTAGAGGCGTATTAGGGTCATTTATCATAAGGCCGTTTTGTAAGTTCAAAGATATTCACGAGCATTGCAAAAAGCACATGGAAACCCACTTCCATAAGATGGCACTGGAAGCCGCTAAATCATTTCTTGGAAGTGTGCCTGTAGATTTACAACTCAACAAATACTCCCGGGGCATTATTGAAGAAAACCGAAAAATTATAACATCTATTATTTCCTGCATTACGTTTTGCGGGTCGCACGACTTAGCTCTGAGAGGAAAACATTATGGCGAAGGTATTCTCGAGGACTTATACAAGCTACGAATTGACGCGGGAGATTTAGTTTTGAAGAAACACATTGAGCATGGGAAAAAGAATGCAAGCTATTGATCGATTGCTATTCAAAATGAAATTATCGCAATTTGTGGAGATGTTATTAAGGCAGACTTTGTGAAAAAAATAAAAGAAGCAGAAGCTTATAGTGTGTTAGCAGACGAAACAGCTGATATTTCCGGTACTGAACAATTATCGATTGGGCTGCGATATTTTCACGAGGAAGCCAATGAGGTCCAAGAAATGTTCGTCGGATTTGTTGAGCTGAAAGGTCTGGATGCGAAATCTATTGCATATTGCATCGATGAGTTTCTGACAAAAGAAGACCTTAATCCTGCTGATAAATGCGTTGGTTTTGGATTTGACGGTTGTTCGACGATGTCCGGAAAAGACGGTGGAGTACAAGCGATCCTTCGCAAAAATTATACCAAAGCACTGTTCTTTCATTGCTCGTCCCATAAATTGAATCTGGTAATAAATGATCTCAATATTCTTCCTGAAATTCGAAACACCATGGGAACCACTAAAGATATTATTAATTTTTTTCGGGAATCCGTTTTGAGAAGAAAATTGGTACCTAATATTGCCAGGCTCTGCGAAACAAGATGGAGTGAGAAACATAAAACTATCAGAGTATTTAATGAGAATTTTCCTGTTATATTGGAAGCCTTAGAAAACTTATCGCGTGAAGGAAACAGTGCTACTCGAAAAAATGCCTTTCAACTCCATGCGGCTGCTTTCAAAATTTCGTTTATACTTTGTATTACTTTGATAGCTAAATACTCTGCTTTGTTAGAACCTGTTGTCAACGCACTCCAATCCATAGCTTTGGATGTGGTTAAGGCCTCGCAACACGTCAAACGCATTTTGAAATTGCTTAAGAGCCACCGTGATAATCCCGAAAGAGTCACAGATGAAATTATAAAGGATGCTACTGTTGTTGCGGAGAAAGTCGGCCTGGAGGAGGATATCACTTCAATGCCGCGCATTGTTGGGAAACAACGTCATCGAAGCAATCACCCAGCAGAAAGCCCTTCAGAATTCTGGAAAAGATCATTAATAATACCATACTTGGACTCCGTTATTACATCGCTTGAAACACGCTTTGCTGAAGAAAATACTCCATCATTTGCTTTATCTAAATTACACCCCGCACAAATGCAAACGATGTCAGTCGAAAATCTCACAGAAACTTGTGAAACTATCGCTCAGTTTTATAATTTACCAAACATAAAAATTGAAGTCGAGCTTTGTCAGCAATTCTGGCATAATAAACCAAACTCAACAGATCAAACCGTTGTTGATATCCTAAAAGAAGCAAAAACCTTCTTTCCCGACACGGAAAAAGCGTTGAAAATTTTGATCGCTCTTCCATGCACGACGTGTACGGTAGAGCGATCGTTTAGCAGCCTCAGGAGACTAAAAACCTGGCTAAGAAGCACTATGAGTGAAAATCGCCTCAATGGTTTGGCCATGATGAGTGTGCACCGAAAACTTATACATGGAAACTTACAAGATTTTAATAATAAAGTGGTCGAGAAGTTTACAATGAATCCCCGAAAATTATATCTTAATTAACCTAATATAAACAAACAACGACTATTATAATATTAAAATCTGATAATTAAAAAAAATACGCTGTACGCTTTACACTTATTCAAAGTCAAACTCCTTTTTATTCTATTTTTCTAATAAATGTTATTATAACTTATTTACAAGTTTTTTATTGCATAGTCAAGAGCTCGTGCTCGTGTAGCTTTACACATTGGACTCTGTACTGTCACAGAATACCTACAATTTATCCCTACTTTACCTACAATTCATACCTACTTTTCTCATTCTCTATGAATGAGAAAAGTATGAATTGTAGTATGTAAAGTCAACTTGCCACCCCCCCTGCGCCATCGGCTGGCGACGCCCTTGGCTCGTTTGATACCCTTATTCCTTTGGAAAAGTAAAGTCGTTATACTAACCTTCTTTAAACATCATTCTGCATGTAGTGTAACCTGTTCTGACCAGAAGGCTTACTCCCAAAGTTATTTTACGAATACAATTCGTTTTCTGATTTAAAGCGTCTTTGTTTTGAAGATGATTTAATAATATCTTACCCCCGAACCTGTTCTATCGAGAAACACGACCGAGTTACTATCAAACGTCATTAGCGCCGTTAGGCACAACAAATATAATTTTTATCTCGAGAATTTTTTTTAATTAATTAAAAATTTACTTCTTAAAGATTTTTTTAATCACAAATACGACAAACTTATTAAGAAAAGGCATTCTCGTCACTAGCGATATTGAGTGCCATCTAGCGGCAGTCAGCTCTAGACTCCCGTTCTAATATTCATCATTCGATTCTGCGCTAGCTACTACGTAACAATCTAGAAGTAGTAGGCTAGTTAGGTTTTGACAGTTTCAAATTACCTTCAGTTCGAATAAAAACGATTGATCAGAACTCGATTCCGTCGGAAGTAGGCCGGCAGATTCATTACTGGTTTTGTCGGTCAATTATAATAGGCGGTATATTCTTTAAAAAATTCCGTACTCAAACCCTACATGTGATGGTAAGCAACATGACATATACGAGGGTATCAACTTCGTATACATACATATGGGCATATCTTTCAAGAAATGAATAACAGATGGCGTTCATCAAAATAGTAATGCCCGTCAGTGAACCTCAAAAGGCTAAAACCAATGTTTTTCGAATAGTAGTGGCAGTGCAAGAGAATCTATACCTGAAAAAAATCATAATAATTTGGAAAATTAAAAAAATCTAAGAATGAACTAAAATGCTATCAAATATGTTTATTTGTGTTATGAAAACCGGTACTGACCTGCAATCCTGCGCGTAGCCGGACAGTGTGACACCTGGTTGTAACGACAAATGGCTGGGAACACCTCGTTCAACCCTTTACTCTTCAAGTGTGACTGGTCCACGCAGTGCAGGATAATATCCATAACCTACAAAAAGAAAAGTACTGAGAATAAATCAGACAAATAATAGGTATTATATGATTTTCTTTCAATGCGTAATCTACTGTAAAAGTTACAAATTAACAAAATAAGAGTCTATCGATCCTCATTTCTTATATTTTTGTAACTTATGAAGTAACCACAAGGGTTCGGGTCAAACTAAAAATAAAAACGTTACGGTGTCTAAAGTATAATATACTAAGATAATTTGAAAGAAATTTGTCATGGGATTGGCTATGTTTTTGTACATTTGAACGATCCAAATCGTTTAAAGTTTTAATCAGAAAAGAAGAGAGAAAGGAAATGATGTACAATATTTTAAAATGAAATTAATAATAATAGAAGTTATAGTAAATTTATTTCTTAGTAAGATTTTTTTAAATACTACACAGTTGAAGTTATCGCGTAATATAACGGTAAACGCCAGTTTGACAGTCGCAGTGTGATTACTGCGACCGATGTGTTTATGAAACAAAAGCTTAACATCTTGGATTACTACTAAAATTTTTTATAGATGTAAGTTTAGAAGTAAGTTTAGTAAAGGAATTATTATTGATAATGTACTGATATAATTTATTGGGTTGGGAATCCGAGAAAAATTGTTATGAACCATTTCAATTAAGCTTGTTTTGAACACAAAATTACTCAAATCGCATCGTAAACGTTCACAATAAACAAAGCTATGAAAATTTTGTGTCGTCTAATAAGACTCTGATATGTTCAAAACATAAAGCAATCTCATTAATAAAATGAACAAATACCAAAGACCAAAATAACTAAGAGCATACACCTAATCTTCATGGCAGTAAACCATTATTTCTAATATTTTGAAAAAAAAAAGAAGATTTATAATTTAGGTAAAGGCTTGCATTTTTTTAAATTAGATCGGTCATCAGATTTTATGTCCTGGCGTTCCAAACTTTCAAATACAGATTTCCAGGTGGCTGGTACCGTACCTTCACTTAAAGATCGCTTAAGAATAATAAATAAAGGCGAAACTAATGGGACTCTATTAGAATTAAAGTTTATAAATGAGAATGAACTTTTTAATGATTTCATGTTTTTTTTTATAGGAAGGGGCGACAAACGAGCACACAGTCCACCTGATGGTAAGTGGTTGCTGTGGCATAGACATCCCTATCCTCGATTACAAATCAAAATGCAGATGCTTTGTTACCCCTGAGGACTAAGATCGAATGCCTCATTTCCAGTAAAAACGGTCTCCGGTTCTTTACACTCACCATACGAAACACATTAGAATAAAACACATTAGAAACACAATAGCAGCATTAAGCTACTATTTCACGCTGGTATTCATTGAGAGTGTGGTACTTCCCCGGTCGAGCCGATCCATTATTGCTACAACTATACTACTAATATAACTGTAGCACAGCTCTACCACGTATAAATAATAATGTTAATTTTTTCGCAATAACTGCATTTGATTTACAGAAGTTTGAAAACCATATCAATAATTTTATTTAATTAATAATTTTGAACAGATCACTATGAAGCTACGACAGACAGATGTCAAATATGAGCTAACAATAGTTTTAATACGAGATCACTTTGGTCGTATTAAAACTATTGTTGTACAAATTCAAATTGATTCAAATGAAATTTCATAATTTTATTTCTTTGAAGATATAGTTCGGCGTACCTCGACCAGCAGCTCGGCGACCTCGGCGTGCATGCGCTCGATGAGCAGCTCGATGCCGCGCAACACCTCCGCGCGGCCGCGCTGCAGCGCCAGTGCTGCGGGCGGCGGCGGAGCACCCGCCGCCGCGCCCGCGCACCGCGCCACCTCGCGCGCCATCGTCGTGATGAACGCGCCCGGCCTGCACACGCACACGCACACAGACTCATAATCACATCATCACAGCGCGCCCGCCCACCGCGCTACCTAGCGCCATCGTCGTGACAAACGCGCCAGGCCTGCACACGCCCACGCACACGCACATGCACACAGACACATCATCACATCACCACAGCGCGCCCGCGCACTACGCCACCTCGCGCGCCACCGTCTTGATGAACGCGCCCGGCCTGCACACGCACACGTACACGCACAGCACACAGACACATAATCACATCATCACAGCGCGCCCGCCCACCGCGCTACCTCGAGCGCCACCGTCGTGACAAACGCGCCCGGCCTGCACACGCACACGTACACGCACATGCATACAGACACATCATCACATCATCACAGCGCGCCCGCGCACTACGCCACCTCGCGCGCCACCGTCTTGATGAACGCGCCCGGCCTGCACACGCACACGTACACGCACATGCACACAGACACATCATCACATCACCACAGCGCGCCCGCGCACTACGCCACCTCGCGCGCCACCGTCTTGATGAACGCGCCCGGCCTGCACACGTACACGCACGTACCGCAAGCCTAGAGTTTTATGGTACTAAGCTCGAAGCTGCTGTCAAGCGCGTGGCCGGGCGGGCGAGCCGGCGCGGTGGATTATTTATTATTTATAAGCGTAAATAATTAGCGGGATCCAATTCGTGATGAGTTAAGGAACCCTGGTTTTTCTTTTTAATTCATCATTGTACATTATCAACTCTCACGGAACCTCAGTGTGTACAGTAAAGACGTAGAATGCGGTGCGTGTACCTGGAGGTGGCGATGAGCGTGAGCGCGTGGCGCGCGGTGCGGCAGCTGTCGGCCTGCGGCGTGAGCGGCAGCCCGTACGTCATTGACGGCACCAGCTTGTCCGCATCCGAGCACATCTCTAGCAGACCTGTAAACGCATCATGGTATCACCTTCATGGTTAACAAACATATTCTCGATACAAACTCGTAGTTAGGTGGATTTCTAAAAATAAAATGTTAACCTGTTAACCAAGCCTAGCTCACCTTCGATCGCGCAATACCAACCCCCGTCATCATTGTTACGAGGGTGACACTGAAAGTTTTTAGAACTGGCTGCTTGAAAACGATATAATAAAAAAATAAGTTCAAAGTTTGAAAATGGATCTCTTTGCCAATATTATTGTGTATGTACTTTAGTAATTTGTCATTTTTTTACGGTTTAGCGACAAATTGAAAATTGTCTGTGTCACGGCAGCGTGAATTTAACGCGAGAAAATTTTCGTACAATGATTTTTTTATGACTTTCGATGTCATTTAAGTCAACAAGATAGTTATGATAGACTTCGATTGGCCTTTACGTTGAAGCCCCATCTCGTGCCACTGTTTCCGCTGGTTTAATGAGTTTAAACGTGGTCGCACTAATCTCACCGATGATCTGCGTGAGGGACGGCCTTCTACGGCGACGACTGAAGATAACATCAGTGTTGTGCGGCGTATGATAGAGACTGACAAAAGAGTGACTTATCAGCAGATTCGGACAAGCTTAGGCATCGGTATGAGTCAAGTGCCAACCTCTATGAACATTTAGCGGTCAGAAAGCTTTGTGCCCGGTGGATACCCCATAATTTGACAGAGGCCCAAAAACTCCGTGGTGTTTATTGGTATCGTGAAATGGTTCAAAGATTTAACGAAGGTGACTCAAATTCTGTGTTCAACATACTTACGGGTGAGGAAAGCTGGATTTATTGTTATGATCCTGAAACTAAGAGACAGTCTGTTGTCTGGGTGTTTCCTTCCGAGGAGTTGCCAACTAAATTGAAGAGATGTCGAAGCGTGGGAAAAAAGTTGGTGGCCTCGTTCTTCGGAAGGACAGGTCATTACACAACACTTGTTTAGAGGATCGAAAAACAGTTACTGCAGAGTGGTACACTAACAATTGTTTGCCACTTGTCTTGGAAAAAGTTCGGGAGAAACGACCTCGCAGTAGGATCCTCCTTCACCACCATAACACCTCGTCGCACACCGCCAAGCAAACAATCGACTACTTGGCGACGTCAGACGTGGAATTACTCGGTCACCCGCACTATAGCCACAACCCCGCACCGTGCGATTTTTATTTATTTACGAAAATAAAAGAAAAACTTCGAGGAAAACGTATGGACGTCGAGGAAGCAGTGGCTGCGTTTCAAAATGCCGTGGAAGAGACCCCTAAGGATCAGTGGGTGAAGTGCTTTTCTCAGTGGTTCCATCGGATGCAGCGATGTATTGATGGAAATGGACAATATTTTGAAAAGATATAATAAAACTAATAATTTGCTAGTTTGTTCAGTTTTTTATTTTCTAAGAACTTTCAGTGTCACCCTCGTACGTGCCTTAATTGGTCGCAAGAGGTGATAAGTAAAATTCTACATATGTTTACGGGTTTATAGCAGAACAGTCTGGCAGAGCTGACATTTTGGGAGTTAACTTGATTCTTTCTATAAAATTAAAGTGACAAGCGCACAGTCTGTCTGATAGTGAGTGGATGGTGTGACAATTACATATATTTTCGACAACGAATCAAAATATTACATGCGTTGTCACTTCTGAGGACTAAGAAAGAATGCCCCGTTACTAGTAAAAATTGTTTCCGATTCTCAACATACGAAATACAGCAGCCTTAAGTTGTCATTTTACGCTGATGTTATGTGAGAGTGTTGTCCTTCTCCAGTCGAACTAGCCTAATCGTGAAGCAATTATAACTGCAGTGTAGGTCTATCATGTTATGAAAAAAGACGTTTTCACTAGAAATTTTCTCATGGTTACTTTACCGTCGAGCTCGTTGTAAATTGGTATTTAAAATTGTGATTTGAATTTCATTTTTGCAAAAGTTGAGGAAATAATTACTGATTGCTGGCGTCCTACTACTATTACATGAACCCTTCCCGCGCGAGCTCCTAAGATTCTCAAAGTTTTAATAACATTTGTTTTTACTAGATCAAAATCAACTACCCACTACTGTGTTACTCTTTCTTTTATGTCAAGAAGGGAATATATTGAGTATATGATGAGTGAGTTGGGAGCTCGCAGTAAAACTCCTGGGTGACGATATAGTTACCGAGCAGGACGTGGCTGACGTCGAGGTAGGGCTCCCAGACGGCGAAGCCGCGGCCCAACAGATCGACGGCAGCCCTGCGCAGCGGCGTGTGCGCGGGCAAGCGAGCGCTGCCGGGCGCCAGCAGCAGGTGCGTCAGCGCCAGCGCCGTCAGCCGCGCCAGGTTGTTGGACGAGCTCAGCGTGAACCCTGCATACGTCATACGTCTTTACTCTTAGCTCACAACTCGTTCACAATGCATTATAAATCCAAAAATGTGGTTTTTAGATTTACTTTTTAATCTACATTAAATATTTAATATTGCAGACATATTAAAGATTGATGACAATACAATAATTTCATGAGTACGACCTAGTATTCCCACTAGGATTATCACTGCTCATAATCAACGCGTGTTGTTTAAGTTTGTTTAACTCTAATAATTTATGTGAAGAAAAATATTCCTTAGAATCTTTGTGCTTTGGAACTTACAAATGTTAAATGCCTTTTTTTTGTAGAAAAACCTTGCGAATTAACGCACAACAACTTACAAACTTTTTACATAATCGAATGTATGGTAAAGAAACGCATAGAAGATCAACAAAAAACATAATTTTTGTTAAATAAATAAATACAGATCCTCCTTCTTTTTTATTGACTCGCGTAAGTCCACTAATAATAAAGGTTTCTCCCATTGTGGGGAGGATTTGCTTTAATTTCAAGCAAGCGCTATGATGATCGCAGTACTAAACAACCGAAAGTTTTCATGTGCAATCGTGGAAATCATAGATTAAAAAAGTAGAACACGTTTCTTTTACTTAATTGTACTTGCAATTGTTATTTTGTGTACGTAATTAAAATATGAATGGTAGCTACGGACTGATAAAGAATAAAATGAAAGAAATAAAGATACATTTCATCATCATCATCATCATCATCATTACAACTCATTGCAAGTCCACTGGTGAACACAAGCATCCCCCATAAATTGCCAAAAAGCACGATCCTGAGCTCCTGTATTCATCGATTTCTTAGGGGGGATATTTTTTCGCATTTTCAAGACAAAAACATAACAAAAAAAATTAACTTGCTATTAAAAGTTACTTAAGTATAAAAATTAAATTATATGTAAGCAATAACAACAGAGTCAGCATGGCAGAAATAATTATGAATTTTAGCGTAAAGCGAAAAGGTAGCACACTTGAACCATCCAATTACAAACCCATCAGCTTGATAACTTGCTCTCCAACCACAAAGTTATCCCTAAGCAGCAACATGGTTTTTGTCCACATCGTTCCACGATTTCTAATTTATTATTATGTCTATAATAATGGACCAAACACTTCAACGAGAGAGAGAGAGAGATAGAGAGAGCCTTTTGACGTAATTTGTCTTGACAACAAAAAGGCCTTCGAAAAAGTCCCTACGAGAAGACTCCTCCAGAAACTGGAATACGTGGAAAACTACTGGTTTGGATCGAGTCTTTTTTGCGTGGGAGAACCTTACAAGTAAGAATTGGTGAAACGAGGTCTGATCACAAAAAATATATATTGCAGTACCACAGGGTTCTGTTCTAGGCCCTGTATTGTACATTATTTATAATTTTGATCTTCCCCATTGCCTACAGTGTAATGTGAGCATCTTTGCATATTTATTATCATTATTAGTTTAAAAAACGTTACTTCCACATTAGGATTTTCTCCTGTATCGTGAGGGCAGTTTACAAACATAAATTTCACAAGAACAAACATCCAGACCCGGAACAATTACTTGTAGGCCATACAAATACTTCCTGCCCGATTTGATTCGAACCGGCGGCCCTTAGCGCTGTAACTCATTGCTAAGCCACTGCGCCACGGAGCTGTCATATGATACTAAAATATTTGCAAATCCACTCATTGACTACGACTGTCTTCAGGATGACCTGAATAAAATGCTATTTGGTCAAAGGAATGCCTCATAAATCTCAATACTTGAAAATGTACTACCTATAAACTGGGCGGCGCGTCACTTACAGCTCTTAAATTATCAACAGATTTGGGAGTAAAAATTGCAGAAGATTTACATTGGGAAGAGCACATATCAACAATTATCAAGAAAGCTAAAGGACTAATTTACCTCGTGAAAAAAGCTTTCGCTGTCCTGACAACGGAAATAATGCTTAAGATCCACAAAACATATTTCAGACCAACATTAGAACTGAATTTTTTGTTTTTGTTTTGAACAAATAATTTTATGCCATTGCAGCCAATTCAATTGAACATTGAAGCTTTCTTTAAGATCTTATGTGGACATTGCGACGATGAGGAGTTTAACAAATTGTTTATTCGTAATGAAAACACTCATCTCAGGGGCCACCATCTTAAGCTATGGACCAGCTTGTCAAACAACAATCCTGTGAGGGTTGTAGCACTTCATTTGTAACAGTGTAGTCACAGAGTGGTATAGTCGCCATAGAACATAGTCTCAGCCCAGAATACTACAGGATTCAGCCCAAAAGGATACAGGTATTATCAGTTGCGTCACCTACCTGCCTGCCAATATATAATAATAATACTTATTAGTTTGAGATTTAGGTATTACACATAAAAAACTGCCTTACCTTCAACAATGGAGCTCTTTCTACTATCCCCGTCTTTACGTCTCTTGCTGCCAGCTGCACCTAAAATTTTCCAATGAGTACTATTTAATTGCAAATCATAATTTTAACATGGCAAACTATAAACAATATTATAACTCGATAGCAATAAAAGGCGTACCATCTTCTCCATATTCCTTAATTTTGAGGTAGTTACAATTTACGAATGTTTCTAGTAACTAGTATTTAAAAAAACAATTAACAATCTGACAAACTTCTTATTAACTTAAACTTCTACAACGATACCAAATACCACCACCACATACAATACACTCGTGGCAGGAAGAGTCTGAAACTAGGCAATATATTGCATCAATTTATCTTTTGCATTCGGATGTTTGGAAATTACTTTGTCTTTATTATCGAATATAATAATGGATGTTCGTAAAGTTTCTCTTGGTTTTATTAGTTGACTTTTTAATACCTATTTCGTGTGATTTGCGTCATTGTTTGTTTTATATTTACTAAACTAAAATGTTTTTTTTTATAAAACGAAGGACGAAAAACGAGCATAGTCATGGTAATTGGATGCTGTATCATGGCGAGTCGACGCATTCATACTTCATTTTATAAAGCTTGCACTTGTGAAATAAAAATTATCATGACTCAAAAGACAATAGAAAAGTTTATTTATATATGAAATAATAATTAATTTAAAGTATATTTTAATAATATTTTATTCAACAATTCCATTTTTTTAGTAATTATTATTAGAAAAAAAAAACGACTTATGATTTCGTTTATAGAATAGGGTGAAAAACGAGCACATAGTCCACCTAATGGTAAGTGGTTGCTGCGGCCCATAGAAATCTACATCTATCCTCGATTACGAATCAAAATGCGGATGCGTTGTCATCCGTGAGGATTAAAATGGAATACCTCGTTTCCAGTGAAAAGGGCCTCCGGTTCTCTACACTCACCATACGAAACACAGCAGCATTAAGCTGCTATTTTACATTAGTATTGTGTGAGAGCGTGGTCCTTCCCCGGTCGAGCCGACACATTCGTGCTACAACTATACTACTAATATAACTGCAGCATGGCTCTACCACGTTAGAAAACACTTTTGTATTCTCTATATTATTCAGATCACCATGTGTTATAACAAAACATAATATATAACCTGTATTATTCAAGGACATTTTTTTTTAAATTTTGACAACATAAACATGAGTGTGTTATCATTTCACCATGCGGTGGCGTTACTAAAGCGATATAATGACGTCACTGGTGTTTGAATTTATATTTTAGAAAAACCATTTTTAATTGTAAAATTACATGCAAATCGATTGTTAATTAATATTTTTTTATTTATAAATTTTAGTACTTTAAAAAATAAAAACCATGCAACTTCTCTATTTTATTGATGAACTTAAGACTAACGGGAAAATTAAACAGATCGGTCGGTTAAATAACTTTTAATAATTTGATTTTTTAATAGATCAAGTACAAAGAATGTATTTAATTAGTATCTTTGAACAATTGTTGTAACTATTTAAGTTAAAGTTGTTCCTTGATGTGCCTCATTTGTTTCAATAAAACTTTGATTTCCTTTTCGTTGTAGATAACGTTTGCGGCCATACTTATAATCGTTGATTATAAGTAACGTGAATTAAGAATTAATTACCTCTATACCCGTCTCTTTCTATAGTAATTTAGGGTAGAGAGAACGAGAGAAAGAGAGAGAGAACAACTATAAGCATTTCTTAAACAGACGTTGATGTTACGTGTATGGTCTTTAATATGTATTAATAGTATGATGAAATATTTGCTCCTTTCGTACCGTGTTACTAATGCAATTACTTAAATTACACAATAAGCTCTAATCGAAGCCCATGATATAGCGCACCTTTTGAGTAATATTAAAGCGTAACATTCATGTGGCCATCTGTTTTACCTTCACTGGCAATATCTTGTCCGAACTCTGCACCAATAACTCCAAGCAAAACCACGGCCGTCGTCTGCTTTCTCTTAAGCTCGGCTAGAGAAGACGGCTTGCGGACAATCTCCTCCTCTTCTTCCTCAGACTCTTCTTCTTGCTACATTAACATAATAAACGATTTATTATTTATTTATTTAAAAACTTACATGTAACACCTTAAGCTAAAGGGTACATAGGGCGGACTTAATGCCATGTGGCATTCTCTGCCAGTCAACCCTGGGTGCCAAGGACAATTGTTGGCAGGTGCGACCATTATACATAAATAAGTGCATATACATACATACACAATATATTTAAATATACACACATATAGTATAAATATTCGTACAATAATACATACATACATAAATCCTACACTTAACATAATTTAATGATATCTTAAATTTACGCGAACACTAAACATTGAATAAAACAAAATTTACGGATTCTATCGCGTTTATTTAACTGATTTTACTTATTTTTAATTCCCGACGTTTCGGGTGCTTTACAGCAACCATGGTCATGGGGGGGGACTGAGATGTTTGACGTCCCAATGTCATTGTTAGCCCGGCTACCTTCAGTTTTTGAATATAAGTAATTTTTGGTCCGATTTACGCAAAACGAACTTACAGTATCTTGAAGTCTTGCAGTGGTATGCTTGGGTTTGGGTTTAATTTTGTTAATTATAGGATCCCAAGCAGATGGCAGCACCCAACCATCTTCTCTATTGAAATTAGGATGTTTTTTAATTTCAATAGCCTCGCGTATCATCCTTGGTAGGAATCGGTGTTCTTTTGCGAGGATTTATGGTTTATCAAATCTGATGTAATGGTGGGGACGATCTTGAACATGTTCATGAGTCTGTGAACATGTTCAAGATCGTCCCCACCATACCTAACTTCAGAGATCTGCAATTTCCAGGTCATAGTTTTATCCATGTACAGGCCAAGATTTTTTTATGGAATCACAATATGGAATCAAAGTTCCATTATAAATTACAGGAGAGAGATTTCCATAATCAACCTTAACCAATAATTGCGAACTTCCGAATATTATAACTTAGCATTTAGCAGGATTAACAGAAACGCCATATTTACATGACCATTCTCTTATGGCTTCCAGGTTATCATTTAGGTTGTGTATTACAAAGTTAAGATTATTTAAGCCTGACTGTACATAGAGCTGGAGATCATCCGCATACATATGGTACGAACAATCTAAAACTGAGGAGATAGAATTTATAAATAAGAAAACATAATAGGAGAAGTAATCCGCCTTGCGGCACACCAGATTCAATTTCAGCCCATGCAGAAAATCGCTGACCTGAGCGAACTGATTGCTGGCGACCGCGAATATAAGAAGAAAACCATTCCAAGGCTGGGGGTGAAAATTTAAGGTGTTTAAGGATGGATATAGGAGCATACCATGATCCACTGTGTTGAAAGCGTTAGAAAAGTCAATAAGCACCACCATTGTTAATTTCTGCTCATCTAAGCCCTTTCTTATATCGTCTGTGACTTTGATAAGCGAAGTGGTAATACTGTGACCAGAGCGAAACCCCAATTGAAATTCATTCAGCAGGTTATGTTTTGCAGTGAATACAGATATTTGCTTAAAAACACAGGCTTCCAGAACTTTATAGAGGTATGGGAGAATTGAAATAGGACGAAAATGGTTAGGGAAAACAGGATTAGGTATTTTAGGAAGAGGTCTTACAAAAGCCTTTTTCCATGCAGAAGGGTATTGACCTGAGTCCGGAGAATAATTTATAATGTGTGTTATAGCTGGAAGAAGGTACTCAAGAATCATAGACACCATTTGCTTACTAATTTCATCATAACCCACAGCATTGGATTTAATGGCTAACAGAGCTTTTTTAATTTCATCCTGAGTAACAGGGGAGAAACAAAAGTCAGAGGTCCGGAGAGGCTGCATTGATTCTATAGAAGCAATAGTTTGAGAACGGACTTGAGGGTCCAATGAAGTCATAGAAACAAAGTGACGATTAATGTCATCCAAATTGAGAGAGGCGCCATATTTCGGAGAATAAGATTTATTAATTCCGATAGACTTGAGGAATTTCCACAAATCAGTGGGCGAAGAATTAGTTATTTTGTCATAAATGTAGCGGCGTTTAGCGTTTCGTAACACCTGATTGCATCTTTTTCTTAGCGTTTTAAAGTTAGACTATTTTTTTTCTGAGCGATCCTTTTTAAACTTCCCGATCTCGCCGTGCCATTGCCACTTGTACCCCTTTTAGTCATCCAGGGAGCAGGAGGACGCATAACTTTTACATAATGTACCGGAGCATGAATATTATACAGATTCAGGATGCTATTATTTAGAAAGGATATTTTATCATCGACGTTAGAAGCTGCCACCAAAGGGCCAAAATCAATTGAAGATGCTTCTCTCCTCTCTCTCTCAATATTTACTGACTCTCAATATTTATTCTTGAAAAATTGCGTAACTGTAGAAAAATAGGTTTCTGTTTTGGAGGTTTGAGTTTATATGAAAAATAAATCAAGTCGTGACGTGAGAAACAAGGAGCAGAGAGCTGTCCAAACTGAATCACGCGATCAGAAGAGGAAGTAATGATGAGGTCAATCAACGAATCATCAGAGTCAGTATTTCTATGAGTTGCCGCCAATGGGAGAATGCAGAGTTCGACTGATTCAATGATTGATCGAAGTTTTTGGGAGCGAGAAGTATTTTTTAACAAATCGCAAGTGAGGTAAAATAATCCACAGAAGGAGGAGAATATACAACACCTAAAGCTGCCCTAGCACCCATAATGTTGAGTTGGAGAGGGAAGATAGAACAACTTTATAAGGAATATTTAACGATTTAAGCCTTTCAGGATATTTCTCTCATTATTGGACATTTTATAGATTATTGTATGCAAGCTGGAGAAAACAAAGAAGTGTGCAAACGCGTAATGTTTATATGCGCGTAATGCTATCCGGAAATTTTTCATAAGAATGTCTAGAGATAATACGTGTACTATGTATGTACTAAGTGCAAAAGATAAAGCTTGGATACAATATTATCATTCTTACTTATTATTGACTGCCTCGTTGGTCTAGTGGTTGTAGTAGTGCGACTGCTGATCATGAGGTTCTGGGTCCGAATCCCGGGTCGAGCCTAAAGAATTACTATTGAGTTTTTCTGTCAAGAAATTCTCAGTAGCTGCCCGGAGTTAGGAAGTAGGCGGTGTCTCACCCTCGTGCTACGGAGAGCACGTAAATCCGTTGGTACGGCGCCTGATCTCTCTCTGGTCGTGTCGGTTTACCGTCCCATCGGATTATGAGAGTGAGGGAATAGAGAGTGCACCTGTGCTTGTGCATACACTTGGGCACTATAATCCTGTACGACGCCGATGGCTAGTGTCCGTTAAGGCAGACCGCCGTGTCCGAAATTCGGTCTTGAGGACATTATTATTATTATTATGATTCTCTTAAACCATACATACATTGCAAATTATTTGATATATAACAGTGTTTACCTCGTTGGTCTGGTAGTCGTAAACGCGATTACTGATCGCGGTCCCGGGTTCAAATTCACGATCTAGCCAAACACCAGTTATTAGATTTTTTTGTCAAAAAGGCCGAGTCAGGAAATTGGAAGTGTTTCACCCCCGTGCAATCGGAAAGCACGTAAAGTCGTTGGTCTTGCGACTGATCACTCTCGAGAGTGCGGGAATAGAGCGTGCACTTGTGCGCATACACTTCGGCACTATAATCCTGCCCTGAGCAGATGGCTAGTCTACGTTGAGACGCCGCCGTCGTGATCGAAATTCGGTCTCGAGGACATTATTATATAACAATATCTACCTTTTCGACAGGCTCCTTTTGTGCGGCGTGCGGATTGATACTCTCAGTGTGCGTGTACAGCGGCAAGTACTGCGCCCAGCTGTCCACCAGCTGCTTGCGTCCTTTCGGACCCATTCTAGAAGAAATACAAGCACAAGTTTAGATCGTAGATCTGCTTTACTGACGTATGCACCGATTCTACGTTCAAAAATCTTTTCACACTGCAACGATTCGTTGTTTAAATATGAAGTGTATTTAAATACCATTTCGAAGTTCAGCCCAACAAAGAAACATAGACACGAAGAGCATTTCAAGAGACACCGAAGTCACTCACGCACACATCTTTCTTTTTCCTCTTTTGATATCCCGTAAGGGTTTACTGCTGGACGCACACATATGCATCTAAAACTAATTTATGTTGCAAATAATTTACGATGCGTATGCGTGCGTGACTGCGTATTCTTACAGTATATCGAGCGGTGCGGCGGTGTCACTTAAAAAGTACACAGCGTTCTATCGACCTTTCTTTGTTGGTTTTAGTTCTGTAGTAAATTACTTCCTGTTAATATAATGTTAGAGTTTTAAACGAGCTAACATTCCACCTGATGGTAGTCGACTAAGATGTGACTAAAATAAATTATTCACTGGCTGTGATTGTACTCAGGAACATAGTTAGCTATAAAAAATTCTGGGATTTCCCATATTCACCTCTAGCAACCCACACGGGACGAAATGAGGTGATAGTATCGTCATCACTTTATGGTATACAATATAAACACCACCTGTGTGGCTGTTCCTATATATAACGCTAAGCCAATCTGGATGTGACTAAAGCCTACGAAATTGTAAGAAACGGAGGTTCATTAACGTTCAGACCTGCCAAGCTCAGCCAAAAGCAACGCCTGCGAAGCGTCGCGTACTTCAAGACACTGGTGCTGCCATCTTCGGGCCAACATCTCTACTTGTGGCCTTTTGAAGCTTTTCGCACCTGGAAAAAGTTTTCGACTGTTATTATTATTTTAACCCCTCAGACACTTTTGACACAACAGTTGCTCAAAATAACCTAACCTTGAATCTGTTGTACATTTATTTTCAATAATATTCATTATAAAGTTCAATATAATACTTGTTTCTGTTTCTTTTTAATATGTTATATTACTTGTTTTAATGCTTTTACTACATTACAAATAGATTTTAATTGTATTTCCATAGTTAAAAATGTAGGTACTCAGCACAGAACGGCAGCTTGAATATCACAATTATTTCTACATATTACTTGAAATTATTTACGTGATAAGATAAATTATATTCACACAAAAACTTATAACAATTTTATAATAAAACACTTACTAAACACTAATAAAACATTAGAAAAATCCAAAAATCAACACAATAACACGCCACACGAAATAGGCGTACGAAATGAACGTAGATTATAATTAAAAAACCATAAACTAACTACTTTATACTGCATTAGAGGATAGGAAATTTCACATGGAGTCTATAATACCACACTTCTTCATAGAAAAGTCTGTAAATATAAGTTTTTATGGGTTAACGTGCTGTGGGTGGGTGCGGTCTCATGGGACCGCTAGGGATTTGACGGAATGTGGCTGCGGTCGTATGCAGCCGCTAGGAGTTCGAGAGGTTAAAGGTGTGTGTATTCGTGTAAGTGTGTTCTTGCACGTGCGTGCGTGTGTATGTAATTATTGAAATTGACTAGCTGAACTAATAGCTAAATGACTTTATGAGCCATTTGACTTAGGGGTGAAAGTGACTGGCTACTGCATCCTGAAATGAATCTCAGCAGAAGTCACCATTTGTTTGTAGAAAAACATTTTCAAGCATTGTCAGACCTAAAATATTCAAACTGGGTTGAACAACGTTCGAGGTTCATAGATCTCTTTAGGTAGAACAAAGAATTTATCTTTGCTACGATACGATATAACTCAACGTATTTTTGTGTTTTGTGTATTTTTAGGTGTGTTTTTTTTGTGTTTATGTATATTGTAGGTTTTTTATTATTTGTGTTGTAGTATGGTCTCACCAGCTGCTACGACTTTGTCAGGCAGTAGCACGCAATGCAGCGTAGCGAGCAGCGACCAGCCCTGCTTGATGTGAGCCTGCTGCGCCGCGAGCTGCTCTTCTCTCTCTTCGTCGCCGCCCCACGATGACGTGCGAGTCGTAGGCCTGCTCGAAATAGTTTAGTAATTTTTTTTAATAGAATATTGGTGACAAACGAACACATAGTCTACCTGACAATAAGTGGATGCTGTGCCCCATAAACATTTACATTTATCGACATCCTCGATTAGGAATATAAACGCAGATGCGTTGTCACCTCTAAGTACTGTGATGCTATGTCTCGTTTCCAGTAAAAAGGGTATCACGTTCTCTACACTCATCATAAGACACATTGAACCATTAAGTTGCTATTTTACGCTGGTATTCTGTGACAGAGTGGACCTACCCCGGTCGAGCCGATTCGTGCTACAACTATAATATAGCTGCAGCATGAATCAACCACCTTAAAGAAGATGGTATATCTTTGTGACATAAGATGTATGAAATGCTATTTTTGTAATAATTCCTTAGTTTTTTGTAATGCATTTAAAAATTGATAGATAACTACGAGTTATTTGATAAGCAATATAAACTTACTAGCTTATTTTAAGCCAGGTAAGTGCTTATAAAGACCTAGATGGTAAATCGTCTTATCGTAACAAAACCCTCCTGTTTGAAGAAACGGAAAGAAAGACGCAGGCAAATTATTACAATCGTTTGCTGTTCGCATTAGAAATTATGAATATTGGACATTTAATTACGTTTTAATGTTGTACTCTTTAACGTAAACATTGTGACAGAATCTCACTTACATTCTGAGATATTGCAAAAGTATTATTCGAGGACATGTCTGCCATGAGGTATCGGGGAATTGCAATGAATTCGTTCCTGCTTCACAACTCTCAAAAATGCCTGCCCAAGAGAAGTTAGACGTATGTATGTACTCTTTTTTAGTTAAGAGCCAGTTCCCATTTGTCAGGTGTTGGACCCGACATAAAATCGGTTGTTTTAGTGGCAGAACATTTTATATGAAGCTGTTCACACTTATACGACACCGTTCTTTTGACGTAGCCGACAAGAAATGTTGGGTGTTTGCAAGCCCCAACGTTCGCAAAAAAAGTCGCGTCGAATCTCGTTTGCCTATGAGTAAGTATGGCGCTGTTCACATTACGTCGGATGTCGGGCCCGGTAACCCTCTATCTGCTCCCCCTCCTTCCGCCCCACCCTAGCTTCTCTCTACCGCAGATCGTACATACACATAGCGCGGCGCGCACATAGTTGCCTCGCATAGACTACCAAAAAATGGCTCCAGTTTCAATCGCGTCCGACAACCGACTAGTGTGTACGAGACCCGAATAAAATACTGTGCTCGACACCTGACAAGTGGGAACGAGATAGACTCTGAATTACAGTTCGGCCGCGGTAAGAAAAGGAGATATCTTCCAGCGGGCAAGGTGTTCAGCTCAGGGAGCGGATAACGTTCCGTACGGAACGGAGCTAATGTATATATATATATATATATATATACCGCATTACTTCGAAATGTTGATAGCGTGATTTAGGCTTCGATGGCTTTTACGCTTATGGCGCGACGATAGCGCCGCCACAACAGTGTATCTTTGATTTTGTATGTCTTCATCAACTTCGTAATTGGTGTCGAAAAATGAATAAATAAGTAAATAGTAAATAAAAATTCTTCACTTTTATCATGTCAATGTAAGAAATGGACTTACGAGTTCCAAAGATATAATAAGGATATACCTATGCAATCGCCTGATGACTTCTTGCTCGGGTACAAAGCTGGCGTTGCTCATGGACATCAGCGTGTTGGCGAGCGCGACGATCGACAGCAAGTGGTTAGTTGTCAAGGTCGTGCTGAGCTCCCAGTGTAGCTTCGATGTAAACAGCCTGTATGTATAATTTACTATAGTAAATTATATTCTTATTTTACCAGGCGGTCCCATAATGAACTGGCCTGATATAGTTCAACGCGACATGTCGCTACATGTTGTGTTGCATTATATAGTACGTTTATCATGCACTTAATATAAGAAACATGCATCGACATGAAATGCTTAGTCTTAGTTTAACAGGCATTTGAATAACGAGAGTCGCGTTTTTTTCAAAATGTCGAAAACTGAGTATCGAAGTGTCATAAAGTTTCTGTTTAAAGAAGGTTTATCCCCTGCCCAAATAAAAGAACGATTGGATGGCGTGTATAAGGAGTCTGCCCCCTCCTATAGCACAGTGAAATATTGGGTGAAAGAGTTTCGCCTCGGGAGAGAAACCGTCGAAGACTTTGGCCACGACGGTCGACCTGTGGAAGTGCTCACTCCCGAAACAATTGCTCTTATCGAAGAGGAGGTTCTGAGTGACCGCCGTTTGAAGATTAGAGGAATTGCAGCAAGGCTTGGGCTCTCTAAGAGTACCGTTCATCGCGCGATCCATGAACATCTTCACATGAAAAAAGTGAGTGCAAGATGGGTACCGAAACTTCTTTCAGCGGTACAGAGACAGGAAAGAGTGCGCTGCGCTTCGGAGTTTTTGGATCTTTGTGGCGAAAATCCAAAGACTGTGATCGAGCGGCTAGTGACTGGTGATGAAACTATGATCTTGTATTATGATCCACAAAGCAAGCGCGAGTCAATGGAATGACGTTATAAGGGTGAAAAGCCCCCTAGAAAGGCAAAGGTGCAATAATCGACTAAAAAACTGATGTGCACAATATTTTGGGATTTTCAAGGCATTTTGATGGTGGATTTTAAAGAACGTAATACAGTGGAGAACGGCGAATATTATGCTTCTTTAATATATAAATTACGAGACAAGATAAAGGAAAAACGAAGAGGCAAGCTGTCTAAAGGTGTCCTGTTGCTCCATGACAACGCCCCTGTTCATACCGCTGGTGTTTCGAAGGATGCAATTCGTCAATGCGGGTTCCTAGAAGTTCAACATCCACCTTACAGTCCAGACATGGTCCCGTCCGACTATTATTTATTTCCAAATTTAAAGCGGAACTTAAGAGTAAGAAAATTTTCAAGCGATGAAGAGTTGCAGGCGGCCGTCTTCAGTCATTTTGAGGATAAAAAATGTGATTATTTTTATAAAGGCTTAGAGATGTTGATTCACAGATATCAGAAGTGTGTTAGTATTCATGGTGATTATATTGAAAAATAAAATTGATTTCGTTTCATTTCCTTCATTGGTTCATAGTTAAGCTAATTCATTATGGGACCGCCTACGTATGTGTAATACCAATAATTATTATTTAAATACATTACCATTTGTAGTGGGCCCAAAAATAATTGTCTCCTTTAACTTTATTATTACATCATTGTCTAACTTTAATGGACGAGTATGTATGCGTGGGCAAAGATTTTAATAATTAGATGCGCCTTCACCTTGAAAACTGTGGCATTATTTTTGGATGTGTTCGTTTGCAACACGCTGACGCACGCACGCTAATGTAATAGTGTCATCTCTTATTATCTTACAGAAATTGTGTATACCACTTTCTCTGTCGCGCAAATGAGCACCGATTGCGAATGAGTGAGCTCACTCATTTGAAAATGGACACATTTCGGAGTGGTCATACTATGGTAAGAGCGCATATAACTAATTAAATCTTTGTGCGTGGGTATATGGATGTAAAGGAGGCGAGATAGGTTTGTCAGTCTTGTGCCAAATGGAAGTTCGTAGCACATGAGTAAAGAAACCGACTAGAGGGGAAGCTACATACAAACGGTTCGCTGCAACTAATAACATAGCGCAGCTAAACTCATACATAGCGCAGCGATGTGTGCGTAAGCTCTCAACGACACGTTCACCGACGCTCCGTCGGGGAACAAACCGGTTTGCACCGGCTGAGTCAGAGTATTCATGCCCTATCATTAGTTAGTCGTGCGCATTGAAATAAATAGACCATCAATATTTCGAAATTTTAAGTATCAATTAATTTAGTTTTTTGCAATTAGCAAACAATGAGATTAATTTTAATTAAAATAATTAGAGTTAAGTATTAAAATTAAGTTAATATAAATGTATATAGGTAAATAATAAGCGTGATAAGAGTAAGAACAGGATGCATGAATAATTCTAGAGAAAATAAGGATATTTCCTTTTTTTGTATCCGAGAGATCAATTGATGTACGTGCCTTTTTGTTTGCTGATGATACATCACTATTGTTTAAAATTAATCGATACGAAACAGCTTTTGATTTCGAATAATTCATAGATATGTTGTATTGTTATATGTTAATAGATATGTTAATACATTAATATAAGATATAATGAATACACATATTGTTTTATACTACATAATATTTTTATTTTTTCCTTAAATTTTTCACATGCATCATGAATGTCAGAATAGGTATACCATTTACGACGTTGCGTTGTTAGGAAGCTTCCCCTCTGGTCTTACTGGTCTACAAATTAACCAGGTTTGATGTTTGATATCTTGCATTTAATTTCAAATTTTAAATTATGATACGGTTTTTTTTATAAATAATCAGTCATTCATATGTTTATTTCAATTTTAATATCGTTGTTTGTCACAGAGAAAAATTGAAAATTGAGTAGTATTTGTGAATACCACTATAGCTGTACTGACGGCACGCCATATCCACGACCTGTGTCAATCAGGGGCCACAAATGAATTTCTTGCTTTAATTATTTCGTCTTGTAATTATTGACCTCAATTATCAGCCCCGTAGACGACTTCCGTCCTATATCAATATCCACGAATTAAAAGATTGATGATTTTTACCCAACTGTCAAAAAGTAGAGTATTGTTTTTTGAGTATATATGTATGAATGTATAGTCTTTGTCTTTCATTCCGCATCTGTCATCGCTCTCGAGCGGTCGCATCTAGGTAGTGCGCGCTCTCGTCCTTGTACGGTAGTGCTATCTCGCTCTCGCGCCTCCGCTGTCCTGCTCGCGCTGTACAGCGTCGACGTATTGGTGAGTCACTTTCGCTAACAGTTCTTGCCCCCCTGTCCTCGGGCGGGGAGGTTTTACTGACCTCCGCTTGTTACTGTTATTTTACTGTTATCTTTATTGTTATTTTTACTGTTATACTGTATTGTCGATTTTTGTTATTTTTCTTGTTATTTTTGTTTTTCTTGTATTATTATTATACGTGTATATTGTCTCGTAGTACGTCTCGAGTTCAAGTCCCTGTTCTCGGTGGAACCCGTCCCAATCGTTACCGTTCATAGATCAACTGCCCCAAAATGGCCACAGATAGCGTAGCTAATTTCATCACCGCCGTCATAAACCAATATGGTATAAACCTCGATGAGACGGTCCTCGCCGCCATCGCCACCATCACCGCCCAGGCTCCTCCCCCTGCCCCTCAGGCACTCCATCCGCCGCCCGTAATCGCGACATACCTCAAAACTCCTTCGCCCCCTAGAAATGGAGTACGAACGCTCCGAGTCCTCCGCGTCGGCCTCCCGGAAGAGGTTCGCCACCAATTCAGGTACCGGTTCATCCACCACAGACTCTTCTTTCACCACGGTGAACTCCAGGCGCAGCGGTAAACGCGCCTCGAAAATACGCATCCTCCCTGCCGCAACGGCCCCTGCCGCCCCTACAACATCCGCAGCCCCCGCTGCCGCCACTGCACCCGCAGCCCCCCGCCGCTGCCGCGGTCCCACTTATGTCGCTAGACATCCCCGCTACGGCCAAGCCAGCCTCTCGATGTGCTCCAGTCCTTGCCAAGAAGCAAGTCCCGCCCCCTGTCTTCTTAAGAGATAAGGCAAGATTTACACAACTACCGAAAACCTGCTACGACGCAGGCATCAAATACGACCATGCCATCAACCTCGGGGAGGCTATTAAAATCATCCCCAACTCGATCGAGGACTTCCGTCAACTCACCAGGCTATTCACAGCCGAACGAGTTTCATATCACACGTACGCTCTTCCGGAAGAGCGTAAAGTCAGGGCCGTCATCCGAGGCGTCCCCTTCGAATTCTCCAACGAACAAGCTGTGCACAAAATGCACAGTAGAACGGGCAAGAGGTTCAATCTAGCCCTTGTTATCTTAATCAACGTGCCGGAGGCAAAAGCCATCTTCCGGCAGGTACGCACAGTGTGTGGCCTGTCGAGAGTGAGGGTTGAGCCCCCACATAGGCGCGGATTCCCGGCGCAGTGCCACCGCCGCCAGCTATTTGGTCATGCGGCGGCCAACTGCTCCTCCCCACCCAGGTGCGTTAGGTGCCTTGAACCCCACAACACCAAAGAGTGTCCTCGGCCCAAAGATGCCGAATCCCCACCCGCATGTGTCCTGTGTAAACAAACAGGCCACCCGGCTAACTACAGAGGCTGCTCCTGCGCACCTCAACATCGCCCCAGTAGGTCAGCTCCACCACCGGTCAATGACCGCTCATTCCCGGCTCTCTACCAACGGCCCCGTCAGGGCCTTTCTCAGCCCATCCAGGGCTTCTCACGGCCCCCTCAGAGTCCCCCTAGGCCCCCCTCAGGGCATTATTCGGCCCCCTCCGGGCTTCTCAATGCCTATGCAGCCTCCAGTCTTTCCCTGGGGCCCCAATAAGGCAGATCCACCGCGGGCAACATCCGCCCCACAACAACAACAATCACAGTCCACTATTGAAGACCTAAAAACGATTTATTCCGCTATTAGGAACATCGAAGTTAGTGAAATCGCGGTGTTAGCACGCAAATTGCACGCTGCGAGGTCCCCTCAGGACCGTCTCCTCGCTCTTACAGAGCATTATAATCTTTTGTGCTCGTTGTAAGTTAAGTTAACTTAATTAACTTAACTTCAATGACAGAGCAGTTTGCTCTACCAAAGTCTCACGGTCGTATCAAACTTAAGGGTTTATCGCTTGTATCCTTTAATATTCGCGGTTTGCGAAATAACCTCCCAGAGCTTAAGCTCTTTCTTCGCATTCGTGAAGCCGATTTTCTCCTCCTACAGGAAACTAATCTCAAAACTAAGGACACTAAAGGCCTTTCTATTAAAAACCCATCAAAAAAGATTTTGAGGCTATTTTATCTTTAGGCAATTCAGTCATTATGTTTGGAGATTTTAACTCCAAGCATACCGAATGGACATGCCGTACTACGTCCCCTAGTGGCAAGATACTGCTCGATATCACGCAGTCTCTTGATATTACCGTCCATAGTCCCCTCGGTATTACTCACTTTCCCGATAACATTGATCACGCCCCCGATGTACTAGATTTTGCGTTACTCCAAGGAGTTTCTCTTAACCTCAGAGCAATCGAGACACTGGACGATCTAGGATCCGATCACCGACCGGTCGCCCTCATTCTTGGCCATCAGCCACCTCCCCCAACACACACGAAAACCTTCACTAATTGGAAGGGATTCAAGGAGTCCCTAGCTAAAGCTCTGGACTCACAGGACTCTACCATCTCCCTACCGTCGGACTTACACAGTCCCGAAAAAATCGACACCGCGGTCGATCCACTCTCCACCCTTATTAAATCCTCCCTTAAGGAGAACGAAAGGATCGTCCCGGTTGCTAACAATAGTGGGCTTCCCCTACATACTAGCAACCTATTAAAAGCCAAAAAAGCTGCTTTCCGGAGAGCAGCAAAATATCCCACCCCCGAATATAGGCGCACGGCCAATCGTCTTCAACGAGAACTCCGTTTCCGCCTCTCTGAATTTCGAGACCTCGAAAAGATTAAACTCATGGAGAATATCTCTCCATCTCATACAGCGTACTATCAGATGGCTAGAGCCCTCCGCATAGACGCTATCACCCATACTCCCCCCTCTCTCCCGTCCCGACGTTACGGTTGCCTTCGAGGACGAGGAAAAGGCTGAGTGCTTTGCAGATAGCATTGCCGCACAATGCTCTCCTAGATCTCAACCCGTCGACCCCTCACACGTCCAGGCAGTGGAGGATGAGGTCCGCCGCCCGAACTCACCCGCTACAGCCTCCGAACCTATCTCTGTGTCCAATGATGAGATTTCATCCCTCATCAAAGGACTTAAGCCTAAAAAGGCTCCGGGCGCGGATGGCATCTCCAACCAAGCCCTAAAACACTTTCCTGAGCAGGTGTTAACCTTTTTATCTATTATCTTCAACGCCTGCTTCAACCTTAGTTACTTTCCCACTACGTGAAAAGAGGCAACTGTGATTGGTATTCCCAAGCCAGGCAAGCCTCTCAACCTCCCCCTCCAGTCATCGCTCCATTAGCCTCCTCAAGGCAATGGGCAAGCTCTTCGAAAGAGTCATCCAAACTCGTATGAGGCGCTATCTGTTTCCCACCGACGGTGACCCTCTTATCATTCCCCATCAATTCGGTTTCCGAGCGCAACGCTCATGTCCTCAACAAGTTCACCATATTGTGGAATATATCCTCAGCGGGGTTTATCCTCGTCGTCATAAGACCATCGCGGTCTTTTCCGACATAGCTAATGCCTTCGATAGAGTCTGGCATACAGGCCTTATCTACAAGCTGTACAAAATAGGTTTTCCCGATCGTCTAGTACGTCTCGTGGCCTCTTTCTTAAAGCATCGTACCTTTCGTTTTAGACACGAAGGCATGCTATTTTCACAGCGCCCTATAAAAGCTGGTGTCCCTCAGGGCTCAGTACTTGCTCCTCATCACATCATCAGTACATCCTGTTCACCAACGACATTCCCATCCCGTCGAAAGGTGTTCAGCTCTCCCTCTTCGCAGACGACACTGCTATCTACTGCAAAGGTATCTCGCTACCTTTCATACGGATCAAGGTTCAAAAGTCAGTTGACGACCTAGGAGCTTGGTTCAAAAATGGCGCATCGATGTGAACCCGGAGAAGAGCTCCGCCGTTCACTTCGATTATAAACGACGCCGTCTCAAAAACACTCCACCAATACGTATGCTAGGGACCCCTGTACCCTGGCATACGACTGCCAAATATTTAGGTGTCACTCTAGACACAAGGCTCACTTTCAGGCCCCACGTCAAAAGAGTAACCCGTCACGCACGTTTTTACCTGAGTAGGCTCAACAGTATGTTGGGCCGACACAGTAAAATGTCCCTTAGAAACAAGCGTACCCTTTATAAGGTCTGTATACGACCAGTCATGTCCTACGCGGGCCCCGTTTTTGCCCACGCCGACCCTAAAATTATTAATGAACTCCAAATAGTTCAAAACCTTTTCTGTCGTCGAGCTGCGAACGCACCTTGGTACGTCCGTAATGCCGACCTTCATCGGGACCTAGAGCTCCCCACAATTCAACAATTTCTCAAAAAACTCTCTGAGAACTTCTTCAAAGCCTCAGAGTCGCACTCCAAACATTTTATTCGTGAGGCAGCTACTTATGCAGCCCCACCCCCCCTCTCGCTATCGAGTCCGCAGGCCGAGAAACTCACTCGGACTCGCCTAATAAACTATCAAACGACCTGAACTGCCTCCTGGCGGCTCAGGCCAACTCTAATTATTTATTCATAATTAATTTGCCTTCGTAGGCACTCCCTCAGCGGCTCGTAGCCGCCTGCGCCCTCTTTTCCCAAAAGAGGGTCGCTCCCGATACGGCACAATAAAGCTTAATCAGCCAGTTGTCTGTCCCTAAAGGCGGTTTTTAGAGGATATCACTTAGGTTCCACGGCAGGATGTGAGTCCCTCATAACCACGATAGACCGGCTATCGTGGTATGCGTAATGCATTTTCCGCCTCCCTACGTATAGGGTAGCCCTTTAATTGCTTCGGGCGCAAAAAAAAGTCTTTGTCTATCTTTGTATACCTTTATCTATCTATATGTATGGCTTCATGAATTTCAAAATATGCGGTGTCGTTAAATTCGACTTAGCAGTTGAAGTGATATATCATGCATGCATATGTTGAAGGGACATAAAATTAATCACTTCTCAGTAAAACATTTTTTACAGTCAGGTTTTCTTTTTAAATTATTATTTAGTTTCTACCATTGGGCTTACTCCTATTATTTACGACGTAATACAATGCGAGTATGAAGTAATATTTTTAAATATTCTTTTTTTTTTTTCTAAACTCCATCAAAAAGCAGAGATTTAATTTGTCAGAATATGACCTGGTGAGTTTCTCTTGTCGTAGCAGCTCTGGAGGAAGTTCAGAACTTAGCAGCGCAGGATCTGTGGGAGCAGCGGCGGCGGCCTCCGCCCAGGTGCCCAGCCACGTGGGCAGCTGTACAGACATGTGACCGTGGCGGGACACCACACCAAAGCATACCGGCACCTGATTGAGAAGAACAGAGCTCTTATTACCGTGATATGAGGTTTTGGTTCAATTATGCAACCAATTTATAAAGTTATTCTTAAAATAACCTAACATTTTTTATAGAATAAGATTGACAAACGAACACACAATCTACTCGATGGTAAGTAGACGCTGTAATACATACACATCTTCATCTAAGATCTTGACCAAAATTCAAAATGCAGATGTATTGTCACCCCTGAGGAAAGATGAAATACCTCGTTTTTATTGGTATTCTGTCAAAGCGGTGTCCTTTCCCGGTCAAGCCAACTCATTCGTGCTATAATCATAATATAGCTGCAGCGTGGCTCTACCACGTACTCGTATAATCTTTTTTAAGCGCGATATATATTATTGCTATATACTTGTACAGTGTTTTACAGCACATGCAGACTAGTAGCGTTACACCAAATGCCAGAAAGCATTTTATCCTAACATATAAATATAATTTAAGTTCCTGTCTGCCTTCTATTGAGCTGAGGGGGTCATTTACATGCCATTAAGAAATGAATAATCATTTTTAAAAAATTTGTGTCCAGTATGTCCGAGCTAATCTCTAGAATGGCTGAACCAATTTTAAGGATAACTCACGAACAGATGGAGCAATACCGAGAGTGATCTAGGCTGTATTTATTCAAAAACTTGCAGATTTTTTTGGTTAATGTAATTGATAAAATATAGTAACGTGAGAGTAATATGGTCATCCGGCTTATATTGTCAATTAAATATTAAAGGATTAAAAGGGCGATGCTTTATCGACGCCATTTATAGTAAATATTTTAGTCGATTTTAGTATGGTGTAGAGTAGCAAATTTTTTTTAAGTATATTTTTCGAAGTGTTCCTAATTATTGCCAAAGCTTGTTCGCTATTTTTTTCTTAATATATTAGTTATAGAATACGACTTTGAGTTTTTGTTTCTGTCCTTCTCCTAATTTTGGTTTTATAGGGAAAAGCTCAGGTGAGGGTAAAATGGTCATTTTACCCTCACGTACCTTAAATGTTTTTTGGTGACTATCTTAAATCTAAATGACGCCACCTTAATAGTCACATTAGTAGTATTAAACAAATTAATATTGTGTTATCGGAGCTTATTCTTTCATTCTAAAATTTATTTATTTATTTAACACCTTATATACTAAGGGATATAAAGGGCGGACTTAATGCCTTATGGCATTCTCTGCCAGTCATACCCTGGATGATTTGAGAAACTGTAGCAGGTGTAAACAATCACTTCATAAATAAATAATAATGATATAAAACAAAATAAAATGCAAATGAATAGAATAGATATATAGTTAGTAAAATATACATACTTACTTAATATATAATATAGGATAAATAATGAATACATAAACGGGTACTTCTATACAAACTATAAGTAAATAAAATATTATGAGACAAAAATAAAATAACACAATACATATTAAAATACATTATATAAAATATTACTTATAAAGTGAAAGAGAAAAAAAAACACAAAAACAATAGTCGGATAGTCAAGTGGTATTATTCTTACGACAGAATTCTCGAACTAGTCTTTTAAAATAATTCTTGTTATTAGTTTTCTTAATATAAACAGGCAAGGCATTCCAGAGCAGTATAGACTGTACAGTAAAAGAGGAATTATAGAAACTACTCCTATGTGGTGGAATACGAATTTTAAGACAATTTTGGGAACGGGGAACTCTATCGTTAGTAGAATACAAATATTGAAAGTTATCCTTAAGATAAGAGGGAGAATTGGGGTCATTTAAAATTGAATGGACTGCAAAGTTCGGGAGCTACGCCTTTGACGAATAGATAGCCATTTAAGCTTAGATCGGCACTGGGATATATGGTCATACTTACGTAAACCGAAAATGAATCTAATGCAATTGTTGAGAAGGCGTTCCAACTTATCGAGAAGATATGGAGATAGATCTGGGTAACACACATCCGCATAATCAATAATGGGTAATATCAAAGTCTGGATTAGCAGAAGTTTAGTTTTAAAAGGCAGAAAATTTTTGAGACGACAAAGAGAACGTAAGGTGGCAGTTACTTTACGGCTTGTTTCGGCAACTTGAACTTCCCAGCTTAATGTATGGTCTATATGTAAGCCAAGATTTTTGACAGACTTACAAAATGGCAACAACGTGCTATTGTAAAATACGGGAGCAAGGTTATCGTTATTAATCTTAGCTAACATTCTGCTACTACCTATAACCATTGCTTTGCATTTGGTTGTGTTAACCAAAACACCATGTCTGTACGACCAATCTCTAATGGCATCGAGGTTGTGGTTGAGTTTATGAATATTATCATTAAGGTCGTTAACACTAGATTGCACATAGAGCTGAAGATCATCTGCATACAGATGGTACGAACAGTTGAGAACTGAAGTGATAGAATTTATGAATAAAGAAAACATTAAAGGAGAAAGTATTCCGCCTTGCGGCACGCCTGTTTCAATGTTAACCCATCTTGAGAACTCTTTTCGTAATCGTACTGGTTACTGGCGACCGCGAAGATAGGATGAAAACCAGTCCAAAGCTGGGATTGAGAATCTAAGATTAGTTAGGAAGGCTATAAGGATATCGTGGTCGACTGTGTTAAAAGCATTTGAAAAGTCAACAAGCACTACAACCGTAAGCTTTTGCTCATCAATTCCCATTCTAATATCATCTGTAACTTTTATCAATGCAGTGGTAGTACTATGACCTGCACGAAAGCCTGACTGATATTTATTCAGCAGATTGTGTTTGAACACAGGCTTCCAGAACTTTAGATAGGTATGGCAATATTGAAATTGGTCGGAAATGGGTAGGTAATGAGGGATTAGGTATTTTAGGAAGTGGTCGCACAAATGCTTTTTTCCACTGAGTAGGATATTGACCTGAGTCAAGGGAATAGTTTATGATATGTGTGATTGCAGGAAAAGGCACTCAAGGATCATGGATACCATAACCTTACTAACCTCATCGCAACCCACAGCCTTGGATTTAATAGCTAGTACAGATTTCTGTATCTCATCCTCAGTCACAGGTAAGAAATGAAAAAAAGGAATAGGAGGAGATGGATGCATGGATTGAATTGAAGCTATTGTCGTAGAACGAACTATGGGATCCAAAGGAGAAGTAGAAATAAAGTGATGATTTATTTCATCCAGAGTGATTGATGGACCACGGTCAGATGTAACAGCCTTACTAATATCTAATGTTTTAAGAAATTTCCACACATCAGCGGTTGAAGAGTTTGCAATATTACTATGGATATAACGGCGTTTAGCATTTCGTACCATCTGATTGCATCTGTTTCTTAGCACTCTGTAGCGATCCCAGCTGTCCTGTCTACGATGCTTCTTAAATTTCACAAATGCTCGATCTTGCCTAGCCATTGCCAACCCTACGGCCTCAGTCATCCACGGGGCTGGTGAACGCTTCACTCTTACTTGATGTTTGGAAGCGTGTTTGTTGTACAGACCAAGAACTATATTATTAAGGATTGAGACTTTATCGTCAATACAAGTTGATTTAAATAAAGAGGTTAAGTCAATACGATAGGCGTCACTTTTAAGTTTATCAAAATCCATTCTAGAGAAATTACGAATGTATAGTACGACGGGATTGAGTTTAGGAGAAATCAGCTTAGGGTAAAGGTTGGCTTTGTGGTGATAATAAGAAAAAAACTTAAAATTTTATTTCAAAATTAACATTTATTAGAAAACCTCTTTACTTATTACAATAATCAGACTTTTCTTTTCAATAATTATTAATCACAGCAACTTAAATTCTTAAACATTAATAGGAAAATCAGATCAAACAAATCTTTTTGGTGTTGGCAATATGGAGATACGGGGGCAATTTGGTGATACCATATGTGGCAATATGGTGACAAGTCTATTCAGGTGATTGGGCATCACTGTCATCGGTGCCTGAAAAGTCTACTTTATCACAATTATCACACAGGAACTGTGGCGACTCTGTGCCAGTACATTCTTGGTGGTACCATTTGCCGCAGCTCATGCACTCTACCCATACAGCTCCGTTCCTAAGTGCCACATCTTGGGAGTAGTGAACACCGCAATAGTCACACATCGTACTTTTATTTGATTTTGGTGTTTTCTCTACCTTGACTCTTGGTAGTTTACGCTTCAGGTTGCTTTCAGTTGAAGGTCCAGGAGTTGGAGAAGCAGAGGGGACACGAATCGAGGTAACGGTCTCCTCACTGGTAACGGCGACTGTGGTTTCGTTTGATATGGCGACGATGTTTTCTTCAGGACTGTCCATGTTGTTCGTGCTTTGAGGTGTTAAATATCGGGCCTGTGGATTCCGCTTAGCTCGTCGGGTACTAGAAGAAGAAGACTGTGGTACCTCAGGAACAGAAAGTAAAGAGAAAACTGAAGGTGACGCAGTTTCACGATTGACAGCAGAAGCTTGGGCATTATCAGTGGAAGATTCAATATTCTGTGACTGTAGGTCACTTGGCTGCATCAATGATGGGGCAATACTTTCATCAGAAATGGCATTTCGATCAAATGGCGCAATGTCAATTTTTCGAAAGCCGTTCATAATTATTGACGGCTGAAATGTATGCTCGTAGGCTGGTGTTAATAGGCGACAAAAGTCAAGCCTTGTTGGAGCACTCGTTGGATGTTGAAGCTTATAATCATTTAGCACTTTAGCCCATGCATTTTTCAGTGACTTGTAAACAGAAACGTCCAGAGGTTGCAGGAGATGGCTTGTGTGACTTGGAAAAGTGAATAGATGAATGCCATTTTTTGTAGCGAAATCTATAACATCTTGGCTGACATGGGTAGAGTGAGAATCCATGATTAAAAGTACCGGTCAAGCTGGTGGAATATGAGCTTCAAAATGATGCATCCACTCCAGAAATAGTTCAGAGTTAATCCAACCGTTTTTGGATAATCTCACGATAGACCCTTCCGGAGCACCATTCGCTAGATCATTGACCATTCGGACACCTTTAAAAATGATCA